AGTAGTACGATGTAAATTAAGGATCTAAATCTTGCTAGTTAACTATAGATAGTGTATTACCTGATGCTTGCTTTGCCACGAGGGCGACAGGGGCTATTCTCCGGTTATGCAATGTCGCATGGGGCGGGGTGCAGGCAAATTCGGTCACCCAGGACCAGATGGTATGCGTATGGCGATTCATATACTTTATAGTGGAAAATCAATAGTTATATGCACAATATAGTAGGATATACGGAGTTGTAGATAATATAGTAACCGCTCCACTGAATGGTTTCCCCCGGACGAACTGAGACGTTTTGAGATTCGGTGCCCGGAGTTTGGGGTATCCGTTCCCCCCCAAGAGTCAAGGATCGGCGCACTGAAACAAAGCGTAAACCTTGGAAATCCGACACAATGCCAAGAGCCGCCAGCCAAGGGCACCTGGGGCCCACCAGGCTGACTCTCTTCGCCTTTTCTTGGTTTTTAATTTTTAATTTTTTCTATCTTTTGCCCTTTCTCTTTTTGGTCTAGTGGACTTGGACTAGTTCGGTTTAATCGAGTTCAAGTTTGGTTGAGGCTTTGGTCGGATCCAAGGATCCACCGGATCTCCCGTTCTTCCTGAGATCCTCTCCATGGTATCCAACATTTTCCAAAGTAATGTTCTTGCTTGAAAGGAAGAAAGAAAATAGATAGTGTCGAAAATGTAGATTCCATGCTTGAACTGTATCCCTAATTCACAAAATCTCGCGCCAGTCAGTAGTCGGTATCCATGCAGCCCTGTAGTGAGCCTCTTATATACTAATTGGGAATAGCGCATCCCATTCTGGTCCTGCGAGTTGCCTAAAACAGCGCATGCCCCACTGATATTTACCTTAGCTTTTCCGATGGGGCAAACCCGTTGCATCCCGTGGGAGCTTGGACTCGCAGCCCTTGATGTGAAAGCTGCTCCACGTCCACGCGGGATTTGGAATATCAGAGCCATTTAAGCGGCTTCGTTTCCCATTCAAGGGTTTTTTTTGTTAAAAAAAAGGTTCTGACATGATTTGGAATTCGATTTAATCTTTTTCTTACGGAGTAAAGCACTATCCACTTCCATAACTAGGGTAATTAGCGAAATTGCGCTATCTCGAACCAACAGCCAACGGCTAATTTCTTGTTATGGATCACTCAAGGGCAGACTGGAAAGTGCGCCTCAGCCGCACTCATGTTGGCTCTAATGCAATGCCCCTGTTGTGTAAATTTAGTACGGCTTATGCTCTGATCATCCCGCAGAGCGATCATCGCCTCCACGCCCGTGCTGTTTTTACCTGGATCTAATCTCAGTTAGCCTTAGTTAGCCTTATGGTGGATTTATTTTTGTTGGAATTATTATTAGCATGAATATTTTGGGATTAATTCATTATTTTTATTTTTATTTTTATTTTATTTTATTTATTTTAGCACATATTAATTTCCTCCAATTTACTCGAACTTTATTAATCTGGTAGATCTGTAGGAACAGCCAGCGTGCATATCGTTCCCTCTATATCAGTCCACTCTCCTCTCTTCATCTCATCTCTTCTATCAGGATTCTCAGCTTATATCTGGACAATTCAAACCAGCCTCATATATATATCATTCCTCCCCATACTTACCTACTCTTTCTTTTCTATTCTCTTTACAAATTATGACCCGCGGATCCACAGGGCGCATCAGTCCAAACCATATCGTCTCTGTCTTGAACTCGCCTTCCGTCTCCTCCTCTTCACCAGAACCTGAACAACTTGCTTCCAAATCCAACATGGGCCGGAAGAACAACATACGTCCAAGCTCTCCGGCAGATGCTAGCGTGCCCGTCACGTATACGCCAACCACCCATCGCATTAGCAAGGCCAAGAAGGGAAAGCGTGTACATGCCTGCCAATACCCAGCGTGCGGAAAGGTCGGCGCAATCATATACACCTATCGGATCAATCAAACTGACTCCATTGCAGGTTTTTACCAGGGCTGAGCACCGAAGACGCCATGAGTTGAACCACAACCCCGAGGCCTCATACCGCTGCGCAACACAAGGATGCAAGAAAGCATTCCACCGCGCTGATCTACTTGCGCGCCACATGGAGAGGCAGTGAGTGCTACAGGAAGCTTTTGGCGATATGGCGCATACTAACAATAATGGCAGCGAACTCGAATCGCAATCGGAGCAGTCCTCATGGGCATCCAACAAGCAAAAGCCCGTCTTAACCGAGTCCGCTGTCCCGCGCTGTATGTCAATGGATGACGGAATGCCATTGACTGCAACTTCCCATTCACACTCCATGTCCATCGGCTCACTCGTTGCACCTGGCATTCACCCGGATCTGGCCAACAACGACTGCTCGTTAATGTGGAGCGGCGTCGACTTGCCCCTACAGCCCCGCCCGGCCTTCCATAGCCAGCTCCCCGAGTCCGTTGACGACAGCCCGTTCTACTCTTCCCCCGCGGATACCTGCCCCTCGCCCCTATCGGATGCGACTTTCTCTCTTCCTCACTCCAGCTCCTCCATATCTTCTGCGTCTGTGTCTGTCATCGACCAGTACCCGAAGAATATCCTGAATGGCGATGTCACTTCGTCCCCGCTTCAGATGCACACTCCCCTCCGCTGGGATACAGAGGCTGGCATGCCTCCGTCCCATCTAGTTCCCATGTCCGTGGGGGAGAATATGATCCAGCCAGTGAGTTTTCCTTACGATTTTGTATAAATATTCACTAATATATCTCCAGCCTGTTCAATGCCACTACCCCTCTCCTTCGTGGTCCAGCACAGACTGCCTTCCCTACGAGGACCAGGTCCACTCCATGCACCAGTTCCAGCCCGTGAGCTGGGGGATGTGAAAATATCATGGAAGCTCTTTGGTCAAACTATATTGATCATAGACGGCCGAATATTATGACTACACGACCACCCGGGAATTTGCCTCCACGAAACCAGCGCGGATGATCCAACGGAAAACCTTGGACTCCATGGCAAAGAAAACAGATGTGGGTCCAAGGAACGGAAGTCCCGAGGGCCACTGGTGTGCCTTAGAGGGTGGTCTCGACTGCCTACAAATGGCTCGATCGTCACTAGCAGGGCGCTCCACCTGTCCACTGTCCGGAGTGTGACCACCTGGACTCCGGATCCACCGGTCTCGATCGCTTCCAATACGCGCAAAATTCTTCCAAATAGGAAGACCAAAGAAGATAAGCACCTCCCGATATCGGTTGGTCAATTCTTTTGTCTTGCATCCCACCTTTGGTGTTGCATCCCACACACGAACTGGGAGTTAGATTTGATGTTTTCTTTTCCTTTGTTTGGTGTCTTTTTATGTGTGATTTCCGACGACACGATTATGATTTCTTTTTTCCTTTTCCCATTCTTGTCTACTATACCATTTATACCCCTGCAGGCCATTCAAATGTACCGCAACTTTCGTTTCAGATGATCTCACCATACCCCGGCATTTCATACAAATGTATAGCTCCAAATTCGTGAAATGATAAACCAAGTCCTCCAAACTCCCGATATAAAATCCAACTCTATTAAGTCAACACCCGTGGCTCGGTTGGCGGTCATACCCATGGACTCAAGCGAGATAAGCGATCTCCGATCCGAGCGGAAATGGATTCCACCCATGGATGGAAAATGAGAAAGTTTTGCTTATGTAAAGCGGAACAAAGCCCAACCTCATCGGGCGCACCCTTTAAAGAAACCATACTTGGTAGGTCCAGCCTCACACGCGGATATCAAAATCTCGATTCCAACCTTGCAAGGTCCCACGGGTTGCAATTCAATTACAAAATGTCCCACTCTCTCGGGCGGTCTTAGTCCTTGGACAAAAGCCTCAACTAACTCCACTTTATATTCCCGGACGCCCCGAAACCCATTTAGTCAACGGTGGACACGGAGTAAACAACGCGGTACCCAGACTATTCTCAATGTGGTATACGGACTTGCTCTTCCCTCCCTATTTTTCCCGCTAGACAGAATGCCGGTCTTGGGAGTAAAATCATTTGAACTGGGGCGTTCCCATTAGGATTTGGAATACTCACAGTGGATTCGGGTATGGGTCGTTTTCATTGTGGGTTTCTAGGCTTCGATCTAGAATTGGTTTTTTTTGAGGAGCAATATGGAGTATGAAATAGCGTGATTCGAGATTCGGTGTTTGAGGGTTAACCTTGGAATAATCGTTTGATTTATCAGCGTGCTTATATATCGAAGCTGATCTTAGCTTTTTGGTTATGAATGTAATATCGTTATTGCCTTTTTCCTCTGGAGTACTCTACCAAGTACGGAGTAGCTCGAGCTGTCGAGGACTCGACTGTGGGGCACGGCGAGTCTGGCGTGTCGATCAGGGGTTGTGGGAGTCACGCGGCTTTTCGAGGCATTGGCTTTCGTTCAGACCACCTGCCTGCTTGAGTGATGATGTGCATTTGCTCTTTGTTTTTGGCGATTCTGGATTGGGCTCGGTGCATTATCCATGCTGTTAAGGAGTGCGGAGCACGGAGTGGTTGATGGATACTGTATACAGACGCAGTTGTAGGTCATGTCTACTCCGTAGGACCTACAACATAGAATACACATTCGGTTTCTAACTCTTCTGTGGGGAGATTTCTCTATAACAAAAGGACTTTATTTCTTTCTAAGAATCAGGAATGCGCCTGATATCTATCGCCTCTAAGGTTTGCCCTATATATCCTTATATTGATGTATCTTTCACCGTACTTTCTTAGGGTATATATGTATATAAGCTACCGGGAAATCATGCGATATAAAACAAAAAACGCCCATCTTTATCTGAGCCTGGCTATAACGTGGACAAAAGTCTGCATATCTACTGATGTAGTTGGTTGTACGTCGGCAGAGAGATCCGATGATAGGCAGCTATGAGGACGTCTTAAGAAGAAACAGAATAGAAACAGAAAGAGTAAAGTAAAAGGCCTCGACTTATGATAGCTGATCACTCGTGACTATGCGCATATTCTGCAATTCATATTGGTCTCCATCATTCTCAAGGATGCCTCTACAGCAAAGGGAACGCCATCCCATCGCCTCGAAGATCACTGCCTGCAGCATAAACCAGCTTCCCATTATCGTGGTATGAACGGATGATCTGGCCGCGACCAAACATAGCCCGCTTCCAACCAGTCAACACCTCAATCTTGTGACCAAGACGACGCAGTCCCTCCACAGCAGCATCACTAATACCCTCCTCAACCCACACCGTGCGGTCAGTACTCTCATCATTCGGCGCAGCGAGACAGAAGCGCGGCGAATCGAGCGCTGCCTGGGGATGATACCCGAAGGCAAGCATGTTGAGCAGAACCTGTACATGGCCCTGCGGCTGCATAAAGCCACCCATGACACCGTAAACGGAGTGTAAGGAGCCATCCGCGATATTAGTGATAAGGGCAGGGATGATAGTGTGGTATGGCCGCTTGTGCGGAGCAAGGACATTAGGGTGGCCTTCCTGCAGCGAGAAATTGGCACCTCGGTTCTGCAGCGTGAAACCACAGCCAGCAGGGATGATGGCCGTTCCGAACCCAGCATAGTTACTGTTGATGAAAGAGATGCCGTTGCCCTCACCGTCCGTCACTGCGAAGTACACCGTGTCGCAGTGGTTGTGCGCCGGACTGCCGTGGTCCATGATATCCGCCGCGCGTTCGGGTGCGAACAGCTTCGCCCGCTCTGCGAGGTACGCGGGGTCGAGTAGGCCCTGCGAAGGCACGCGCTCCACGTCTGGGTCTGTGACCCACCAGGCTGCGTCGGCGAAGGCGATGCGCAGACTCTCAATCACGGCGTGTAAGTACTCGGCTGAGTTATGCTGGGCCTCGGTGAACTTGGGGATCTTGCCTGATTTTTCGAGTTCCTCCATGATGCCGAGTGCCATTAGCGCCACGATACCTTGGCCGTTTGGTGGGTGCTCCCAGATCTCAACGCCCTGGTTGGCTTCGCCATCTGTGCCGGCTGCTGATTTAGAGACGATGTCCTGGCCAGTGAACTTGAGTGAAATCGCGTCGACTTCCTGTGTCCCGATCTCGGCATGATAGGCTAGATCCTCGAGTGACATGTAGCCGCCCTGATCTTGCACCACCTTCACGATGGCTTCTGCGATCCGGCCCTGGTAGAATCCTTTCTTGCCCTCTGTAGCGAGAGCGCGGAAGGTCTTGGCTAGAGTGGGATTCTTCATGATCTCGCCTGGAAGCGGGGGTCGCACGCCATCTTTGGCTGAAGGATCGACTTTCAACATCTCACGGAAATTAGGAGATGCATTGCGGATATCTCCCTCGGCCTCATTCCACTGCGCGCGGGTTAGTCCATAGTGCGATTACGATTGAAAAGGATTGTAAATTTACTTACACCCTGAGATGAAATCTCCGACACAGGGAACCCCTCTTCTCCCAGCTCAATAGCAGGCTGTAGAATCTGCTCGAGCGATAACCTACCACTACCAAACTTCTCAACTGTATCCACCCATCCTGCAGCCGCTCCAGGCGTAGTGACAGATAGAGCATTCAGCATGGGCATGTTGCCCGACTCACCAGGGGCCAGACCGAGATCCTTGCGGATTTTCTCCAAGCTGGCATTCCCAGGGTACCGACCAGAGCCATTGAGCGCATGCACCTTCTTTGTCTTGGCATTGTAGAAGAGACAGAACATGTCACCTCCGATGCCGGTGCAGCCAGGCTCAGTCATGTTGAGCCCGGCGGCTGTAGAAGTATGAGATCAGTTAATTGTTTCCTGCTGTGATTACGCAAATCGAGGCAATGCTTACCGACAGCAACAGCGGCATCCTAGACAAGAGTATCAAAGTCAGTATTGTTGAATGCGACACATAGAATTGAACAAGGTGCATACCGCTGCGTTTCCACCCTGGCTCAGGATCTTATGACCCGCAACAGCGGCTAGTGGTTGGGTGCATGATACGATGCCCTTGGTGCTATGGACGGTACTTCGTCGACTGGGAAATGGGACATAGTCCGCATTGGAGCGGGAGTATATGGCTTTGGCGTTGACCGGCATGGCTTGGGTGACGGGGAAGTGGGAGGGCGGATATGAGGGGAAGGGGATATCAAACGCTTATCAACCCCCACTAATTTCCCCATGGATGAAAGGAATGAAAGAAGGTTCCTCGGTAAGTCAGACGGTAACTCAGACGAATTGGGGAAAGTCCATTTAATCCGTGACTCCAACCTTGCGAACTTTTAATTACCTAAATCCCCGGACATACTCCGTCCCCATGGGGCTACTTCGCACATGTGTTATACATCTGTTACAGAACTCCATTCCCTGAACTCTTTGAGCCACGTAATAGGACCTACTAAATAGTATAAATATAAATGAAAGGGCCTCGAGAATCAACAGCTGTAAGGGTATAAAAGGGCATCTCTTCCCTGATTAGGAAACGAAGAACTTACCTATGTAGTTATGTACCTCCAAGGCTCGGAGTTGAGGATAGTCCTCCCCGGTGTTCGGCCGAGGTTAGCTGTGGGGGAGTATGACGTATATCTTTTATTATCGTTCCATCTGCATAGCACCAACCTCATTTCTGAAACGAAGACAAGTCGAACAGTCAAAATACCTGGAGAAACGTGATCGTGATCACGTAACTCACCGCCCCGGTCTTCGGAGCGGCAATTAACCCCTCCGCCATCATCCCACCCGACCATTAAGTTCCTTAGGCTGATGAACGGGGCACTATAAAGACCCCCGATCTTATCTGATGAAACTGATCTTGAGAAAAGGCCTCTCTGATGGAGCAGCATGGTGGTGTTTGTCGACCTCGACGATGCATTTGCCGACGGATCGGCACTCTTGGAGAAGCCATTCCCTTTGACGGTTGACCCCATCGCGTCGGGCCTGGCCGAATTACCCACATCGCCTACTTCGCCGAATGAAACGACCGACGAGATCCTAAACCCCAATCGGAATGGATTCTCAGCGGCTTTGAGTTGTTATCCGTATGTATTTGATTATCAACGGCAAATAAGATCCAGATCCAGCTAACATATTCACCCGATAGCATCGTCAAAGAAATCGCTCGCGCCATCGACCTGAATACCCTCTACGCCCTATCGAGCACCTGTCGCCAGTTCCACGTGAACTTGGCGCCGTTCCGCCACCAACTAGTGAGAGAGACTCTCCGGTGTGAGAATGAATACATCGAAACCCTAGCAGAGATGCTAGACAGCGGCTCTGTCCTCCCAGACAGTGTCAAGTCAGTCATACGACTACTAAGCCGTCCCAGCGGCGAGCAGACCCGTATGACCCGCGGGAAGGTGGGCAAATGCGCGCGCGACATGGTGGGCGAATGTCGACGCTGCGCCAAGGTTGTATGCAGAGTAAGCCGAATCTGTTCCCCTTAGCAAAGAACCAAGTCGCTAAACGCAGCTTGCAGAACTGCACAATCAAACCACCTTCCCAACCAGCCCTTAAAAACCGTATCCGCCGCCTCTGCCGACCCTGTGGCAAAGCGCCACTCTCCTCCCACCTGTCCACAACCTCAGACCCGCACGCCCCCGACCGGTGGGACGATAACAGCGTCGCGGCGATTGCATTTTCGCGCAGCCCCTGCAATTGCGAGGAAGCTGTCTGGCTGTGCACGCAGTGCGGAATGACGCTGCGCAGTAATGACACGACATACCGTCGTGTCTGGGCATGGCGCACCCGCTATAGCACGTACCTCGGCGGCGGGCTGGGCACCGGCATTGGTGAAGGCTGCCAGGGCGTTCAGTGTGGGCGTGGTGAGAGCTGTCTTGCTGCGCAGGAGATCGAGCTTGAGGTTGACTGTGAGGCTGATGAGGGGTCTGGGTCTGGGAGCGATACCAGTCGTACTGCAAGTCCAGCTCCTCCGCCGTTTGGTCACGAGGGGGCAGCTATCTCGACAGATAGCCATGATGATGAGGAGCCTGGATATTTCAGGCAGGAAGTTATTGGTTTAGGTGGTGTTGTTAAGCATAAGTCTAAAAAGAGGGTTAATGTTGGTGCTTGCGTTGTTGAGTATGAGGATGAGAGGGAGACGAGGAATTATCTCGGGAGAGAGGAGAAGGGTTTGTATCGTGGTTGGTGTGGGTGGTGTTCTAGAGTGATTCCGGCGAAGAGCGAGCGGACTTGATTTATTTTTGCTTATTTGGGCTGCCTGGGTTATGGCTTTGCATGTTGCATGTCGCATTTGGTGCTCTGGCGACTTTTCTACTTTTCACGACTGATGCTGGGGAGGATATGAACTTTGCATTAGATGATGTCCATCATGAAACATTACACGAATGATGGGACAAAGACAGATACTACGATGGCCTCGAGATAGCCTCAAATAAGGTATGAGAGATCGGCAAATCATGACGATCTCCAAAATCGAAATCCTTGTCAAGCTGATGCATATTGAATCAAATCTGGCTAAAAACAGTTCAAGTACTCCTGCAATGATTCGCTCCCCAATGCAAGCGCAAATTCATCAAGCATACACATCGTCACATAGATCATTCTGTCAAACCACAAACCACCCCGTTAAAAGTAAAAGACAAGGTTGAAAGTGAAAACAAATCAAAAACGCGAATCAACAATCTCTATGGTCTCAATGGGCAGCAATCGCTCTCCAGAGACCCTTCAGCTTCGACTCCTCTCGGGGAGGAGATTCCTCGCGCCTGTGGCGACGATGAGAGCGCACCTCTCTTGTCTCCCTGGAACGCCGGGAGGAGTTGTCGGGCTTCTTCTCCTTCTCCCTCTCCCTCTCCCTCTCCTTAGCTCCCTCTATTTCCCGTTCGCGTTCATGCTCGCGCACACGCTCCCTCTCCCTATCTTTCTCCCTCTCTCTCCCCTTCCTCTCCTCCCTGGACCGGCCATGCTCAGCCGTCGACGAGCGCCGCAATCTCCTACTCTCAGTGCGCTCAACGCGCTCACTGCGCTCAGCATGCTCACTGCGAGGAGGCTCCTCTACGCGTCGTGACCGTGATCCACTAGACCGACCATTGGAGTGTCGCTCTTCATACTCCGCACGATCGTGACGGCTGCCACTACTGTGACTTGTCGATGACCGGCGCGGCCTTTCAATGGGCGGTGCAGCCTTCGTGGCATTCAGGCGCAGCAAAGGCCCATTGGTATCCGATTTGCCTTCTGTCATGTATCGTAGGAAGGCGCGGGGCTTGGGTGTCGGTACCGATGTTGATACCTGCTTGGATGAAGACGTCCTGGTCGAGCGGGCTCGTTCGAGAGGTTGGCTCGAGGGAGTGTCAGAGGTGCGGCGTTTGGATTTGGATTCAATGACTTCGGCCTCCATTTCCGGCTCCATTGCGCTCTCCTTCTCCCTCACCTTTTCCTTGGACGAGCTCTTCGAGCGCTTCAGTTTCTCGGGAGCAGGAATGCCGCTGCGCTCTCGCTCTTCGGCAAGAGCGCGCTGTTTTCGTTGCAACTGCGCTTTCTCGTCGTGTTGGCGTCGTGCTTCTTCCAGTGCCTTCGCCCAACGGTTGGTGAAGATGCCTCGCTCGCTCTTCTGGCGCTGGAGTTGATCCCGGCGGCCTTCGGACGATGTTTTGGACTGTCGACGCTCTCCCTCGATTGGCGAGCTACGCTTTCTGCGGCGGCGGGAGCTGTGGCGGGCTGCTACTGCTTCTGCGCTTTCGCCCAGAGGCTCGGCGTCGATCATCTCCATCTCACGTGGGACGTCTGCTGGGGGTGGTACGAGCTCGTCGGGCGCCACTTCGTCGCTAGCGGGGACAGCGACTGGCTCAGCAACCTCTGGTTCTGCTGCTGGGTCTTCTGCCGGGAGGTCTCTAGGAGCGTCTAGCTCGGGGGTTGGCTCCTCTAGCGGTGTCTCAGGCTTTGCCTCTTCCGGTGTTGGAGTCTCGGCTGGGACCGCAGCTGCATCGGCCTCTACTGTCTCAGCCGGAGCCTCTTCCGGAACTACCGGGTCAGCCGGGGATTCCTCAGGTGCCGGGGTCTCAACTGGGACAGCTTCAACAGGAGCTGGCTCTTCGGGCGTTGGCTCGTCAGCAGGTTTTTCCCCTGGAATTTCCTTTGGCGCCTCGTCTGGTACCACTTCCGGTTCTGCTACAGCTTCTGCGGGTGTCTCGACAGCGAGCGCTTCTTCCACTGTGGCGGGAGCAGGTGTCTCCTCAACCGCTGGTTCCGGGGCAGGAGTCTCCTCTACAGGATCTGCGGCAGCGGGGGCATCTTCAGTCACTGCTTTCCCTTCAGCGGCAGGTGCCTCGGGAGCTTCAGCGACTGGCTCAATGGCTTCCGGTGCGAGAGCAGCAGGCTCTTCGACTGGCTCCTCGGCGGGAGGATCCGGCGTGCTCTCAGAGGGTGCTGGGTCTGGAGCTGCCACAGGTTCTTGGGCAGGCTGTTCCTCGACAGCCGGCGCTTCTTTCACAGTCACAGGCTCCTCAGCAGCAGCAGGTTCAGGCTCAGCCACAGGCTCAGCTACAGGGTCGGCTGGAGTGCTTTCTTCAACCGGTGACTCTTTAGGAGTTTCCTCGACTGGCTCGGGCTCAGCTACAGGTTCAGGCTCAGCTACAGGTTCAGGCTCAGCAGCGGGTTCAGCGGCGGACTCGGGAGCAGGCTCAGCAGGAGCTTCAACAACAGGCTCGGAAGTAGGCTCAACGGCAGGCTCAGCAGCAGGCTCGGCGGCAGGCTCGGGCTCAGCAGCGGGTTCGGGAGCGGACCCGGGAGCAGCCTCGGTAGGAGCTTCAACAATAGGCTCAGCAGCAGGTTCGGGGACAGGCTCGGCTGGAGTGCTTTCTTCAACCGGTGCCTCTTTAGGAGTTTCCTCGACTGGTTCGGGCTCTACAGCTTCCACCTTGTCCTCCGTAGTAGCTTCGGGTGCGGCAGCAGGTGTTTCCTCGACTGGCGTAGCTTCTGGCTCTGGTTCCTTCGCAGGTTCTTCGGGAGCCTTTTCTTCTTCTACTGCAGGTGCAGCAGTGTCGGGTTCTGCTGGTGGTGCTTCTGTTGATTCGGGTGCGACCTCCGGTTTTGTTTCCGCCTCTGCTTCCGCTGCTTGTTCGTTTGTTTCAGGCTCCGGCGCTGCTTCGGCAGCTGGTTCTGGCGTCGGCTCTGGCTCGGCTGCCTTGGCGGCCTTGCCCTTCTTGCCTTTCTTTTTCTTCTTGCCTGCTGACTTTTCCTCTGGCTTTGGCTCCTCAGCGGGTGGCTCGAGTTCTGCTGCCTCTTCTGGGGTTGGGGTATCAGGAGAACTGTCTGCGGGCTTTTCAGGCTCAGCTCCAGGCTCGGGCGCTGATTCGGCGGCTGCTTCTGGCGTCGGCTCCGGCTCTGCCGTTGGTTCTGCCACTGGCCCCGGCGCTGGTTCGGCGACTGGTTCTGGGGTTGGCTCTGGGGTTGGCTCTGCCGTTGGTTCTGCCACTGGCTCCGGCGCTGGTTCGGCGGCTGGTTCTGGCGTTGGCTCTGGCGTCGGCTCTGGCGTTCGTTCTGGCGTTGGCTCCGGCGCTGGCTCCGGCGCTGGTTCGGCGACTGGTTCGGCGACTGGTTCTGGGGTTGGCTCTGGGGTTGGCTCTGCCGTTGGTTCTGGGGTTGGCTCTGCCGTTGGTTCTGGCGTTGGCTCCGGCCCTGGCTCTGCTGTTGGTTCTGCCACTGGCTCCGGCGCTGCTTCGGCAGCTGGTTCTGGCGTCGTCTCTGGCTCTGGCTCGGCGGCCTTGGCGGCCTTGCCCTTCTTGCCCTTCTTTTTCTTCTTGCCCGCTGGCTTTTCCTCCGCCTTTGGCTCCTCCACCGGTGGCTCAGGGGCTGCTGATTCCTCCGGAGGAGGGGCTGCATCGGCAGCTGGTTGATCTTCCGTTTTAGCCTCTGCGTCTGGCTCTGCTGGAGTCTCGGCAGCCTCTGCAGGTGCTTCATCTGACTTTGGTGCATCTTCCTCATTCTCTAGAGCGTCTTCGGCGGCCGCTTTAGCAGCAGCCTCTTTCTCGGCTGCTACTGCCTCGGGATCTACGTCTAGATCAAAATCTGGGAAATCTTCATCTACATACTATCAGCTTCGTAAGATCTAATGTAAGTTTGGATACTGACCATTGTTGCCATTGTCGCCTTCTTCTTTCGTGTCTTCGCCTGCTGGAGCATCTCCTCCACCTTCAGGTTTTGCATCTTCTTCAGGCTTTGGTTCTTTTTTAGGCTCCGCGCTGTCATCAGGCGCCGCACCGTCTTCGGGTTTAGATTCATCTTCAGGCTTTGGGTCGCCTTCGGGCTTTGGTTCCTCTTCAGGCTTTGCTTCCTCTTCAGGCTTTGGTTCCTCTTCAGGCTTTGGTTCCTCTTCAGGCTTTGCTTCCTCTTCAGGCTTTGCTTCCTCTTCAGGCTTTGCTTCCTCTTCAGGCTTTGCTTCCTCTTCAGGCTTTGCTTCGTCTTCAGGCTTTGCTTCCTCTTCAGGCTTCGCTCCGCCCTCGGGCGCTGCACTGTCGTCAGGTTTCGCATCCTCCGCGGTTTTCGCGTCCTCTACGGCAGCCTCCTTGGCAGCCTCGTCGGGATTCTCTGCATCTGCCGCTGGCTCATCCTTGCCCTCTTCTTTAGCTTCTGGGGCAGCCTCTGCTGAATCTGAACATTATGTGTTAATATCAAGTACGAAACGTAAAGCATGGATTCCTCGATGATAAACCTCATCATCTATAGAAACATGCACTTACCTGTAGGCTCAGCGGCAGGGGGATCTTCAGAGGCAGGGTCATTCTCCGGTTCGGCGGCGGTGGGCTCCTTGTTGTCCTGGTTTTGGCCCTCGGTCAGATCGGTCGTTGAATAGGTGACAGGGTAGAATTGGAAAGATTTAGTCTCATAGTCAAAGGTCGAATATTGACGTTGAACCGATGCATATGAGTACTGAGGGAGTTCGGCATACTTGTAAGACATCCTCAACAGCGGCTGCCGCCGGGTCCGGGGCAGGGTCGACGAGGTCTTTGTTCTCGGGTTCAGGGGGTGGTGCAGAACCGACGGGTGGTCGATTGTTATTGTTTTTATTGTTCTTCGACTTCTTTTTATTCTTACCGGCCATTATCCCCGGTCAATGACGTATCATATATCGAAAGCCTGGGCGAGGCTGACTGGCGCGTGATGTGACGAGAACCGGGACAATGGGAAATTGACAAGCCGGCTTGTCGGGCTCGATGCACGGAAAAGTATGGGGCGACAAGGGAAATCGAGGAACAAAAGATACAAAAGATGGACAATTGAGAATTGTGAAACTGGGTAGGGTACCTCATGTATTAGAGTACTAAAAAGGAAAGGAAGGATATGCTTGTTTCTCTGGTGACACAGAGGTCGCATTGGACAGTCATGGTGAGGCAGCGTATAATAGTTCGTCTCCAATGCGGTCGGATGGGACGACAACAAAGTGCATTACGGTCTTGGGCCCGAACGTCACCAATGAACTGCCCAATGGAGTCGATTGTCATTGGGCCACGTCGGTCGTCGGGTCTCCATTTCAAGGGTCGACATGATGGTTAGTGAAGTCCGGTGCTTGGTTAGGGCCGGGTGAGAGCAGCACGATCCCCACCGGCAGGAATAGTTGCAGCACCAAGCAGTAAATGGCGATACGGGATTGGGGATCGGGGGCCACATCGGTCAAGATAGGAAAGGCAGTGCTGCAGGAGCATGGAGAAACTGGGTCTGTTGAAGTGGGGTGGATGCCACCGAATGAATTGAATTGAATTGGATTGGATTGACTTGACTTGTGTTTTTTTCTTGTTTTGGTTTGTCTTTGGGCCTGGACACTACACATAGAAACATATTGAGATGAGAATAGAAATGAATTGGGCCGAGGGAACGCAGATGTACACAAAGCCACGAAGGCAATGTTTCAGTAGGGAAATCGATGGGCGAGCAGAGGTGGCCCATTTCTGCCCAACGTGTCCCGGTAACGGCGGCAAATAGGATGCAGGCGTACGAAGTACACCGGTGGAGAGACTAGGGCAATTAACCTCGAAAGCGATCCGGTGTTAGGGGCAAATATTGGGAATCGGAATTCCAGCAAAATTCTGCATTATTCATAGAATCGAACTGGAAAGGCGAAACGGTGGTTGGGGATGAAGTTGTATGGAGCCGATGGAGTCGTGGATAGTGGAATCTCCACTCTCGACACCGACACTTCAGAGTATTGTCCGAGAACATTATTCTTGTGACACTCGACTGTAAGGGAGTCAGCAGTTGAAATGGTGATGTAATATGCAGTTAAACATCGTGGGCTGCATCAATAAATGTCTGAAAAAAAGAGAAAAGTGGCGGAACACGGAGTTTCTCAGGATCAGGTGATATTGCGCATTGGACTTGGACGTCAAATTCTCCCTCTCTGCTACATTCGATATTCTCATATTTCCATTCCACCTATAACGACGGATTACGGGGTACAGCCGATCATTATGTGATCTTCGCATCAATACCAGCCACTCCTAAGCGAACACGTCCGCCCATTCCTGCATCCAACTTGGTCCGCGTACGGAGTACACTAACAGACCCCACGACTATCTGATTGATTTGACGTCTTACAACAGCTTCGTCACTGGGATCCTCTTCTTTCAAAATGGCATATGTGTTCAATTCGACTTAATGTACCTAACGGTATAGATAGGTACAAAGGCTAACAACTTGAGTCTAAAAAGAGCTGCATGCATGCCTAGGCCACTTTTCTCTTTTCTAGCGCATCATCTCGGTGCTGATTTTCGTAACATTCCCCGATATGTTGTACTTCCTGATACAAGTCCGCAGCCAAATCGCCAGATGGGGTTATCTACGTACCCAACTCCATGCAGCGGGCCGAGCATCCATGCCGTGTTGCGTGTGGTCATCAAATGGCGATCCTCGAGGTGAACCCATCGCAATTGTAAACATGATTGGTGGCTTTGTTTCTATTCTCAGAATTGGGCCAAGGTTCTTGGATTCTTGGATTCTTTCTTTTTGAATACGTTGGACTCCTGGACTATTGGACTCTGTACGGAGTAGACGGGCATAAACCTCGCCCTCTTTTCGCCAAGCTGTTCCTTTGTCACCTATGCACTTGGAAGGAATATGTCGATTGGAGAGGAGAGGTCTCAAGGTTAATAGGCTTTCATTCGATGTCTGATATTTGAGATTGGAGCTAGCGAATAGACAGGTCGTTTGGAATATAGTTTGGTAGGGATGTTGCCGGCATCGGATCTGCTAGAGAGTGACCCGTGCGAGAAAAAGAAAGAAAAAACACTGGCATCGGGAGCTTGTTTGGTGGCTAATGAAAAAGTATTCGCGATATCGTTTGGAAAAGCACTCCGTACACATGTGGTAGACCCTGGTAACTTCAGCACATAAACCCCTCAACTCCGTTATCCCGCCGGCGATCTCCCTTCCCCTCATGACGGATGCATCGAATGTTCGCAAGGAGTGCTGGCTAGTCAAGAACATGGCGTGATGGAGCTCTGATTGGCTGCCTTACTCTTTTCATGCAGGTGAATTAATACGTGCAGTATTACTCAGATCTATATCGCTTTTCTATACTTCATTTGGAGTAGAGATTGAGGTGCACCTATGTATTTAGATAAGGAGCAACATTGCTAGCCTTATTATACGCAGTCAATTGCACCTGATGGTGGAAGGACTTGCTCTCTCGACAATAATATGCCATCATTGACCGATTAATGCTTGGTCTACTTAGTTAGTGTATGTTGTAGGTACGTCTAGATAATATGCACGATAACACAACTACGGCAGACTTTATACGTAGCATCTTGGCATATACAGTTACTACACCGGTTAGTTGAATGCTAACAGTAATTCTCAATTCGAGGTGTTCGTTGTCCGCTCGAAGTCATTCTCCAGCTCCGATTCTCCGTCCTCCTCAGTGTAATATGCTAGCATCGCCTTTCGGTTTGCTCTATGTCCCCGATATCAGTGGGTTGTATATAGAAATTGCTCTTTACCGCCTTCGTATACATCTTATACATCTAAGAAGGCATCTAAAAAGAGCCTCCAAAAACATATCGGTGTGTTCTTACATGTAACGTCCCTAATACCGTCTTCTAGAGTTGTCAAATGGATCAGACTATTAAAGCTTACGCCGCCAAGGACAGAAGCTATTCCTGTTGAGATACATAGACAAGAAAGGCATAAAGGGACCGGAGACGGCTTAACATGAAGGAAGAGACAGAGTCAGGTTTGGACTTTTTGTTTTCTGAGACGTGTGTGCAAAAAAGAGACAGTTCGTTACACGTACTGACACCAATTGTGTACATATTGGTATGCCAGGCCCTTACCACCGTAAAATTAATATAAAATAATACTCGAACGCCAGAGATAAAATGCAACCTAGTAATACGGAGCAAGAGCAACTCATGCCCGCATGTCTGCATCCAAAGTCTTTCTCCACTTGGGACCGTTGACTCTCATCAGGAAGATGACGGAGCTACTTGCGAAACTGACAAGGCCGAGGATGGTAAAGAGCCACCCATTGCCGATACCGTTGATGATTGGGGCAGTGACGACGGAACCGACGCAGGAGAAGATGTTTCGCATGAAGTTGTTGAGTGCTACACCCTCCGAGGACTTTTTCGGCATGAATTCGGTGAGCATGGTGGTTACCATACTGAAAATGAGCATGGAGCCCATACCAAAGAAGAAGTTGGCAATCATCTACCAGATCGGAGTTAGCGAGTGCGCACTGTACTGATATGTCTTGGGGGCCTGTATTGAGAGTTGACGTACCGGGACAAGCCAGAAAACCCCCTTATCCGCCGTCCAACCATACCAGATCAGGGCTGCCGGGTACAAGAAGGCGCCAAGCCATGCATTCTCACGCATTCGGTCCTCCGGGCGTAATTCCAGTCTGCCTTTCTCGTCGTATCGATTTGCTTTCTTCGCCTCCCGTTGCATGATGCTGTCCATCCATTTGCCTCCAAATATACTGGTCACCATGTAGCCCAGCGAGTTTGGAATGTACAACAAACCAACGATGATGGTGGAGAAGTTGTATGGCGCCTCTGCGAAGGTATGCTCGACACTGATATTGAGGACGTAGAGAGAACCGAAGGCGACACTAGCATAATACACGGTGAGAAGGACGGGCAAGAACCGGAGGTAGAGAATGATTTTGAGCGGATCAATGAGGACCATCTTCATCGTCTTGAGCCACCTTGTGGTGGACCGAACAACCTGCTGCGAGGAGACTCGACTCAACGGACGACTGATAGCTGGATCTTCGTCCTCAAGTTCAGCCAAAACAGGCTTTTGCACGGTCAACGTCTCGGGAAGGGCGAATAAGATAAAGATGAGAGTGAGAGCACCAAATGCCGAGAGGAACCACATGGTACTCCGCCATCCCCATCGCTGAGCTAGAACACCGCCGATAATGGGTGCAAACAGGGGTCCACATAGCGGACCTAGGTAGAAGATACCCATAGCCCTTCCTCGCTCCCTAGATTCCCAGAGATCGGCGATGGTGCCAGCACCAACCGCCTGGACAGAAGCAGAGGCGCCACCACTCAACATTCGCATTACAACCAGCATTGCGATAGAATCCGAGATGGCACAAAGGCAGTTGAAGACCACAAAGAGAGCAAAAGAAGTCAGATAGATGGTCCGTCGCCCAAGTCGCTCGCTGAATGATGACCACCACAATGGGAATATCGACATGGCCAGCATATACAACGCGATCGACAGGTTAGTGATGGTGGTTGTCGTATTCAACTCCTTAGTTACTTGTGATAGTGAAGCTGATAGAAGATTGATTAGATATGATCAGACGAATACCCAATTTGTGATTGGAGACTCACGGAGAAAGATCGCGCTGCCCATTGGTGCTGTGGCTCCGGCAAGAGCGACGACAAACGTGATGAACCATTTCATTCTGCGAGTATATGTTTTCGGATCTTCAACCTCTGCCACCAATGCCAGCTGCCCGAACAAGCCTCTGCGCTTGAGTCGGGCGACCTTGATGGGAGGACCAAGCTCCGTCAGTTGGCGTTCTAGGCGTGGAGGATTCTCCGGGTCATTTTCCTCATCGGCGGTATTGCTGGAGGCACCCGATAGAGAGTGATTATCATTATCAACCTCTGGTTTTGGGTCGGTCATGATTGTCGGATGTTCTGCACTGTCCGAGGATGCGATGCCGTCTGTCTCAGATTGCCCATGCATATTGGATGTATGTGATGGGGGGAAATGTCGCGTTTCGCCAATTGAACATAAAATAAATCTGAATCCAAAAGATAAGGCGCATAAAAGGTTTACAAGAGTAAAGTCAGGTTGAGTTTTAACAGAAGAACAAGCCCAAGCCCTGCAGATACCTAACCACTTGGGCGCCTTCCTCCCAAAGATTGTCGAGCTATTCCCCTGGTATATAAGATAGCAGGTGAGGTATGTTTTGCAATGTTAAATGCATGTGCCAACGTTGGATAAAGTAAGAGGAAAATTCCGAATGCATTTGGAGATTTGACCGACAAGCACCGACGGCGACCGAGTGTAGTTAATAATCTCTTGCACACCACGGGCACCAGGGCCCTAGTGCTGGATTATTATCCGACATACCAACGCTAGTGCACATTTCTATCCTGTGAAGATACAAGCCGGCTTTTAGAGCCAGTCATCATTGAGTGTGAGTGTGCCGGTCTTCCGTCGGCAAATCCTGATGGCCTCCATCCCGAGAGAGGTTAGAGACTTGAATTGGTCTAGATCTTCGATGAATAAAATCTACGATAGAACAGAATATGAACCGTTTTGATGGCGTGAAGTATTTGACAATTTAGCAATAGACTTACATTGGCTTTCGCTTAATATCTCTGCTTCCCCGGGTGTCACCTTAGCTGTCTCAATAAATACCCCGTAATCCTCCTACATGGGTTACATACTCTTAGTATCATAAGCCCAACTACCAGCCCTGGAGGTCCATCTCCCAAGTGTTCACCACCTACTCCGTACATACAACGTACGCCTGTGATAGATGGTGGGCCTGCCACTATTATACTGTAGGATAGACCCAGGTGTTGTGATAGGTGGTGTACCCGCTACGATTATACAGATCTGTCATCAAAACAGAGACTATAACTCGAGCAGTCCAGAAACACCTTTGTACGCCACCGAATCATATACCTCCAACCCAGGTGAACCTCAGAAGGGCCCCAGGGCTGCAAGGAGGTGATTAATAAGCCTGGTAGACTGCCCAGGTGGGCAATGGATCCCCGAATCCCCGAGGGCAACATGGCATAAAGACGGTGAGCTCCACCGCATCCCTCTTGACACCCAGGAAGAATTTAATTAATCTCCCCACGAAACCACATCAAAGATCAAACCCAACATAACCGTCGCAATGCAAACCAACATCAACCCAAAGGAGGTGCAGGCCCACCTCTCGCAATACAAGGGCGACAAATACGTCGATGGCTGGGCTTCGCTCTGGGATAAGGGCGACAATCTGCCCTGGGACCGGGGATTCCCCAATCCCGCCCTGGAAGACACGCTTAACAAGCAACGCCCGACAATTGGCGCGCCTCTCGCCACCGATGCACAGGGCCAGTCGTATAGGCGGAAGGCTCTCGTTCCCGGCTGCGGCAGAGGTGTGGATGTCCTCTTGCTGGCAAGCTTCGGCTTCGATGCTTATGGCCTCGAGTATAGTGCTGCTGCGATTGACGCATGTAAGAAGGAAGAGAAGGATAATGCCAGTTGGTATCGCGTCCGGGATCAGACAGTCGGCACGGGAAAGGTTACTTGGATTCAAGGTGACTTTTTCGATAATGCTTGGTTGCAAAAGATCAATGTCCCCTTGAATGGATTTGATATTATTTATGATTACACGGTATGGATCCCTTTTGCCCCTTGTGTTGCTGTTTGGATGTCTGTCTACGTCGTGAGATTCATCGCCATGCGGGAATACAGCCACGTGATTTAATAACAAGAATGTTGTATCTTCTTTTATCTATATCTCATGTTTCTATGTTAACTGTTCTCATGCTAACCATAATGCAGTTCTTCTGTGCTCTGGATCCGTCAATGCGACCCAAATGGGCGCTCCGACAGACCCAGCTGCTCTCCCCTTCACCAGCGGGCAACTTGATCTGTCTCGAGTTCCCCCGTCACAAGGATCCCCAATCCCCAGGCCCCCCATATACTTCTTCATCGGAAGCGTATATGGCACACCTGAGCCACCCCGGCGAAGAAGTCCCCTATGACGCCAAAGGCGTCAGGCACGAACCTCTACGGGCACCGAGCAAAGACGGCCTGGAGAGAGTGGCATACTGGAAGCCAGAGCGCACGCACGAAGTAGGCCAAGGCGAGAACGGGTTGATCCACGACCGAGTCTCGATCTGGCGTCGTCGTAACTAGTTCTGCCGAAAAGCCGGAAAAGCAAAAAGCCCAAGATAAAAATGGATCTGCAATTGCACAGTCAGGTCTCAACTGAAAAGGCCGAGACAGAAATGAGATTGCTTGATCAAAGTAGCTTAGGACTTCTTCACAAGGGCATTGTAGTGTTCGCCGAGTCCGTAGGTGTGGCGGTAGTAAGCGAGCCAGATAACGCGTTTGCGCTTCTCCTCCTCGTCGAAGTTGTCGCTCTCGCCGGATTCGATCTTCTCCATTCGCCCATCCTTCTGTACAACGTTGATTTCCACCCCGTACGCTCGGGCAATCGCCTGCAGCTCTAACTGCCCTCCCCACTCGGCAGTCAATTTGATCTTCCGCGTATATGACTCCAGGGGCTCTTCCATGAACGCTTCGAAGTCCTCTTTATGTTCCATAATGAAATCCGCTGTCACAGCTCGAACAGCTCGGTAGCCGTCGTGTTGTGGGGAGGCGACAGTATCGATGCGTGACTGTGTCGCGGGCTGGAGGACGATTCGGCTTGGGTCCGGCCGCAAACCGAGTCCGGACTCATCGAGCTGTTTGGCAACTGCTGAGTAGAGGCAGTGCCCATCCGGAGTCACTTCTATTTCCTTCAGACCCAGCTTCTTGAACACAGCGTCCATGACCTCCTGTTCGTTGCCTCTGTAGTTTGTTTGCGTTGCGGCTTCTTCTGCTGCGGCGGTTGACTGGGCGGCTTGCTCAGCCGCACGCCGCGCGAGACGAGCTTTTTGGCGGTTTGGCTTTCTTGGGTGCGATGCAGAGGAAGGCTCCAGGGTGAGTTGGGCTGTTGGTTCTGCTTCTTGTGGCTCGGTAGGCTGGTCTTGTTTCGAGTCCTCGTCACCTGCCGGCTGATCATCTTCCAGACTGAGGCCTTCGAGATCTTCAGTGGGTTCTCCATTTAACTGTGCAATCTCGGCTTGCTGTTTCTCGGACAAAGCGTGCTGCAATTGCTCACATTCATCGTTGACTCCTTTGCGGGTTCTCTTGGTGGCGGACTTTTTCTTTTGCGTTATCCGCCCTTGGAGATCCTTTTGCTCTTTGCGGTGTTTTGACAGAAGCTCGTCCATTGTGGAATAATGAAACGAAAAGAAAATCCAACAAGTCTATTGCACTGGGGTCATATGCTGAACGAAAACAGCCCAAACAACTCGGCCAGAGACCCCGCGAAACCCTGACGATGCAGCCCTAAGTTGAGTCTCAAAGAGGACTAGTGCAGAGTTATCGGTACAAAGATATTCCAGGTCCGTGTGCCTCGGCTGGTTCCGTCAAGTAATCTCGGCCCCGTCGGCCTCGGGTATGGAGTGTAACGGGGGAAGCTACGAGGGACAGATGTAACAAATGTAGCCTCTTGTCTTCGATCCTTTTGTTGTAACCACAATTTCACAATGGATTCCGCCAGTCTTTTCAACGTCAAGGTTAGATCACTACATACTCTACCTCTCTAACCATTCTAACGGGCCTACAGGGTAAAGTCGTGCTGGTCACTGGCGGAGCCAAAGGCATCGGTCGCATGATCTCAGAGGGCTATGTGACAAACGGCGCTACCGTTTACATCTCATCCCGTGATGCGAAGGCCTGCGAGCAAGCAGCTAAGGAGCTCAACGCCCTGGGCAAGGGCAAAGCCCACGCCATTCCGGCCAATTTCTATAAACTTGAGGACGTGAAGAAGCTGGCGGAGGAGCTGGGCAAGCGCGAAAGCAGTAAGGCGTCACATCCAATGGACAGTTATATCATTTCTAACAACATGCCTCTTTCTTCTAGAGCTCCACGTCCTCGTCAACAACTCTGGCTCGAACTGGGGCGCTCCCTACGATGAATACCCTTCCGAGGCCTTCACGCGAGTACTCACCCTCAACCTCCACCGCGTCTTCGATCTGACCCAGCATGTCACACCGCTCCTGGAGAAGGCGGCTACACCGGAGGATCCTTCTCGCATTATCAATATCGGCAGCATTGATGGACTCCGTGTTCCCTCGCTCGAGACATTTGCATACAGTTCCAGCAAGGCCGGTCTGCACCACTTGAGCCGGGTGCTCGCCAACCACCTAGGCAAGCGAAACGTTACGTAAGTATATCTACTCTGCTTCGCTTCTCCTTTTTGATGCATCGGGCACTGATTCGGTTTGCAGCTCCAACACCTTGGCCTGTGGTCCTTTCGAAAGTAAGATGATGGCCGCTACCTTGGAGTCATTCGGTGACACTATCAGGGCTGGTGTTCCTCTGGGTCGCATTGGAACCCCACAGGATGTGGCAGGAGCTTGCTTGTTCTTGAGTAGCCGTGCCGGTGCGTTTGTGAACGGCGCGACTATCACGGTCGACGGCGGAAGCGCCGTTTCTGCCAAGTTGTGAGCAATTGTATGAACATTTTGGCTTTGGATATCTGTAAATAGCTGTGTTAGCACAAGCATTATTGATGTTCATTTGGTAGACGGGACTTTAAGCTTATACTGAGTGAGATTCGGGACAGAATCCCCTAACATTCCAATGAATGGCTGGTTACCATATCTGTCTAAGCCACAACAGTCTTGTTTTTGAGTCACTGCTTCTAGCAAAGATTTGCAGTTTTTATATTTGCTTTTTATCGCGTCTCAGGGCCTCGCCTTCGATTTGTTTCTAAAGCTGTTATCTCAAGGCTTATCAGCCCTGGAGCGGCAACATAAGTGGAGCGGCGACATCATCAATGTGAATGCCGTCATTCCCTTTCCACCTCTGCCAGGTTCATAACATATTTGTTTTGTCAACTTCTCTATCATTACCATCTTGCATCTATTTTAAAGCTTCGACATATCACTTGAATCCGAAACGAAATCGTCTTACTCGCCGGACCAGGATCCTCCGACTTTCTGATCAGATCGCGAGTACCCTCGGAGTACAGAGTACAATTGCCCAGGTCATCATATATCGGGCCCATTGGAGCATCTGTACTTGCTGCTTTAAGATTTTCGACTACCGGGAATAAGTCGGTGTGGACGCATCCTTGCGTAACGCACATTTGAATTTCAAATTGTGCCCTCTCTTCTTCTTCCGCCACACAGACCATGAGCTCGTCAGATGGGCGTACCCGGTCTGGTTCCAGCTCTACTGATCCTTTCTCCAATCCAGATGTCTACTATGGCAAGGAGGACAATGTCAATAAATTCAAGTCGAGAAGACGTGCATTCTCAGTGGTAAGCAGCCACAACGCTTGGGCGGTACCCCGCGGTAGAAGGTACAGCAAGCTTATTTTTGACTGGGATCTGCAGGGTTTGAGCGACTACAGCCGCGAAGATATCAATCAATTCTTTGGAACCTTACCATCTCGACGCGGTAGTCATGGTATGCTTGTTATAAATATGTCGGATATGCGGTCAGTCCAGGAGCTGACAACATCGAACAGATGAGGCATCGGGACAACCTCGGAAGTTCCTTATCGAGGTGGAGGAGACACTTGCGGCTCTCTTGAGGCAAGAAGATACGGATCAGAATATGCAGATTACCATCGAGGACTTGGGACCTAAGGTACGCTTGATGATGTCAAACACTAAGGACCGCTGCTAATCGTTGTAGGTGATCTCGGTCGGGACTGCAGCATCATCTGGACATAAGCGAGTTGATGTACGGGGCACATACATGCTCTCCAACCTCCTCCAAGAGCTTACAATTGCCAAAGACTACGGTCGCAAGCACATTATCCTTGACGAAGCACGACTGAGTGAAAATCCAGTAGCGCGGCTGTCTCGTCTGATCAAGAACTCCTTTTGGAATGCCCTCACAAGGCGTATCGATGGCTCCAACATTGAAGTGGCAGGTCGAGACCCCAAAGATTGGACCGCGGATCCGCGACCGCGGATCTATATCCCGCCGGGTGCTCCAACACAGTTTGAATACTACGAGCAGATTGCGAAGGACCACCCCGAGCTGCGTCTTGATGTGCAGATGCTGCCGGCTGTAATCACGCCCGATTATGTGATGGAACTCAACGACAAGCCCGGCCTACTTGCACTGGCTATGGAGAAGAGGCTCAACGAATCGACCGGGAAGACTGATCTGGTCGGTGTGCCGTTCGTAGTGCCGGGTGGTCGGTTCAACGAGTTGTACGGTTGGGATAGCTACATGGAGTCCTTGGGCCTGCTCGTCAGTGACCGCGTCGACCTCGCTAAGGGCATGGTAATCAATTTCTGTTTCGAGATCAAGCACTACGGCAAGATTCTCAACGCAAATCGATCTTACTATCTCACTCGCTCGCAACCGCCCTTCTTAACTGACATGGCACTGCGTGTCTACGAAAGAATCAAAACCGAGCCTGATTCAAAGGAGTTCCTGCGCAACGCTGTCCTCGCCGCCATCAAGGAGTACAACAGCGTCTGGGTTACCGCACCTCGCCTCGACCCAGAGTCTGGCCTGTCGAGGTATCGCCCCGAAGGTTGGGGCGTGCCCCCAGAGACCGAGCCCTCTCACTTCGTGCACATTCTCACCCCATACGCCAATAAGCACGGGATGACCTTCAAAGAATTCGTCAAGGCATACAACTCCAGGACTATCGTCGAGCCCAAACTCGATGAGTACTTCATGCACGATCGAGCCGTCCGCGAGTCCGGCCACGACACCAGCTACCGCTTGGAGGGCGTGTGTGGAAACATCGCCACAGTCGACCTCAACTCCCTGCTGTACAAATACGAAGTCGATATCGCACGGATCATCCGCGTGCACTTCAACGACAAACTCCCCATCCCAGCAGAGTTCCGTACACCCAAGACTAAGGATGTCGAAACCGAGTCCTCTGCAGTCTGGGACCGGCGTGCGCGCAAGCGCAAGCAGCGCATGGACCAGCTCCTCTGGGACCATGAGAAGGGAATGTACTTCGACTACGACACGGTCAAGAAGGAGCGCCAGGGATACGAAACCGCCACAACCTTCTGGGCGATGTGGGCTGGTCTCGCGTCTCCCGCGCAAGCAGCTATAATGATGGACAAGGCCCTGCCCCGCTTCGAGGCGTTCGGCGGCTTGGTCTCTGGCACTGAAGAGTCCCGCGGCCCAGTGGGCTTGGAGCGCCCCAACCGGCAGTGGGATTACCCATATGGCTGGGCACCGCAGCAGATGCTTGCCTGGACGGCCTTCCTCCGCTACGGCTATCAGGAGGATGCGGAGCGGCTGGCGTACAAGTGGGTTTACATGATCACTAAGGCGTTTGTCGACTTCAACGGCGTTGTCGTGGAGAAGTATGATGTCACTCGGCCTATTGACCCCCACCGGGTTGATGCCGAGTATGGCAATCAGGGCGTGGACTTCAAGGGAGCTCCGCGTGAAGGGTATGTTCTTGTTCTTTTTACCTTTTGTGGATACCTTGCTAATTCGACTGCAGATTCGGCTGGGTGAATGCTAGTTATGTCTACGGGCTGGAGATTCTCAATGCCCACATGAGACGCTCGTTGGGAACTATCACTCCGTATGAGACGTACCATAAGGCAGTCGTTACTCAGGATGCATATTGATTGAATTTTGTGTTGCCGTTACGTTATAGTCAAGATTGTTACAGAGGTTGTATGGGCGTGATCAGCGAAGATGAGGATAGAAAATTCATTCATGTAGAAGTGAGCAAGATATGGACATCACCAGACAGTGGTTACTGTCTAGCGCTGGTCTTCGGTTATCACTTGGCACTCAGTCTTTCCCTTCGCTAAAAGAAAATCAATAACATAACAAAAAAGGATCGACGTCAACGTGTATCCTTGCTTCATAAAGTACCTATTCCAGCATACGTATGTTTCGCGCGTGCCATGATCTGTTATTATACTTCTAGTAAATGAAAACCCGAGCTTGATTGCCTGGAGTATGCCCCAGAACCACAGCCCGAGCCAACGCGAAAATAAGCCGATAGATGCCTCGGCAGAGCAACGCGTCCCCGACCGAAAAAAAGACCGCATTTCAGAGATCCCGAAGGCGTCATTGTACGTAGGGCTTTCCGCAGGCAGGAGAAAATAGACGGGTGCGGAGCTGGGGATCCCTTGTTTTCCCGAGGTAGTTATCGTGGGCTCTGGGGAGGAATTGCGGTATAGGTGTATACACACCCCTGTTTCTGTGTAGACAGTTATATTCTTTTTGTTTACTTGGATGTGTGTGTGGACATTGTTGGTTTTCTTGTTAAAGCATTTCCTAAGCTTATCTGATATCCAATGTCCATCCATGGAAGACGAGGGTTATAAGTGCAACTATGGTACCAAAGGTGTTCTCTATAAATCTCTTAATCCAATGATATCTTGTTTCATGTTCTTGTTTTAGACTTTATTTTTCATTGTCTACAAAGTGGTTCCTGATCTACTACGGAGTAGTCTTATCGGCGCTGTATGCGGTTAGTTTGGCAGAGCTCAGTTGTGCCGAGGTTCAACTTGTAGGGCGGTTTTGAGTCATTTTTCCTAAACAGAGTGGACCTCCTGCAATTGGATAGATGCATGTGCAGGCACTTTGGGGGTGTCATCTGTTCCGGTCTGACTTCGTGTAGGTGCTGGGGTGCGGTTCCGCCCATGTGGATAGCGTAGCGTACAATATAAATACATAAGGGGACGGCGGACTGTGTATATATGTAGTTTGTTGCTTCAAATATACAGCTTAGATATACGTCTACATGGCATATATAGCAAATCAGAAATGTCAACATCCGAAAATCTCCGAAATCGGTTACATAGCAGCTTTGAACACTCAATATGTGAAGGATTTTGAGGATTGGTGGAGATCGGTCGAATACCGGGGCATGACAATACGGCAAGGATCACTTAGATAGACATTGTTTCTGGACAGTATTTCTCTCCGAATGGCGATGATTTCCTTGGCTAAACTGTAGTATGTACAGCTTAGTATTACGGAGGGTTTCTACATATGTACATATGTAGTTTATTTGAGACTATTCCCAACATGAACATGCTCCGAACATTCAATGCAGTTGATGCACGTGAAAATTACGTTACGATGTGTCTCGTATTGTCACGATAATAGCATGTGTCTTCGACGTCATCCGGCAGTTTCCAACACTTGAACATCGAACATCAAATATCGAACACCAACTTGACGATCCAGAAGGAAAGGGTTAAAAAGACGCCTGGGACGATATCTTCTCTACATTCCAGTGAGATGCCGATTATTGTGACACGAATGGAAGTTTTGGCCCAGTCAGCAGTGGCAAAGGGTCGTCCCATTAGACCGAGGATCATCAGAGCCTGGATCCTCTCTCCCGAGCCCAGCTATACCCGCCTTCCGCCTTTCGGAGCGCCTTGCCCATGAGACACTCTTGGAGATGGAGAAATACCTAGGCATTTGGGAGTTATTGGTCTTACTCCCGGTGAGCCGAGAGTTTACCGACCGTGACGCATTTGAATATTGAATAAGTACCCCGGGTTTTCTGGCTTGTGATCGTTTCTTCTTTTTTATTATAGCCTCTCCTCTCTTCTTCTTTCGTATCCTCTTCTATATTTATTCCATAATTGGCTCACTGGAACAGACGTGACGCTTCCTGCACGCCTAGATATACTATCTGACTATATTTGTACCCTTTTCTTGTATTATACCAAAAAGTCATGGGTCTGCACGAGGACGAGGACCGCCAGTATGCGGCGGAGGTCCAGGCTGTTCAGAACTGGTGGAAGGACTCTCGATGGCGCTACACCAAACGGCCTTTTACAGCCGAGCAGATTGTGGCCAAGCGTGGTAACCTGAAGATCGATTACCCGTCCAATGTGCAAGCAAAGAAGCTCTGGGGCATTGTCGAATCAAACTTCCAGGTAAGTTTAGTTGGGAAATATTGACCGTCTACGATTTTATAGATGCATAGATGCTAACTACACTTCACGGACAGAACAAGCAGGCCAGCTACACATACGGGTGTCTCGAGCCTACCATGATCACTCAAATGTGCAAGTTCCTCGATACTATCTACGTCTCTGGCTGGCAGAGCTCTTCTACAGCTTCGTCGACCGACGAGCCCTCCCCCGATCTGGCCGATTACCCCATGGTACGTTGAATATACTGGCGATATCAAACTCGGACGCATACTGACAAGTACTCCACAGGACACCGTGCCTCGCAAGGTGAACCAGCTGTTCATGGCACAGCTCTTCCACGACCGTAAACAACGCGAAGAGCGCATTACTACACCCGCAGGCCAGCGAGGAAACGTCGCCAATGTTGACTACCTGCGACCCATTATCGCCGATGCCGACACCGGACACGGCGGTCTGACCGCTGTCATGAAGCTGACCAAGCTGTTCGTTGAGCGTGGTGCCGCCGGTATCCACATCGAAGATCAGGCCCCCGGTACGAAGAAGTGCGGTCACATGGCCGGCAAGGTCCTCGTTCCCATCAGCGAGCACATCAACCGCCTGGTTGCCATCCGCGCCCAGGCCGATATCATGGGCTCTGACCTTCTGGCCATCGCCCGTACCGACTCCGAGGCCGCCACCCTCATCACATCGACCATTGACCACCGCGACCACGCCTTCATCGTGGGCTCCACAAATCCAAGCATCCAGCCTCTCAACGACCTAATGGTGGCCGCCGAGCAGGCCGGCAAGAACGGTGCTCAGCTGCAGGCAATTGAGGACCAATGGACCAGCCAGGCTGGCCTCAAGCTCTTCAGCGAAGCCGTCATCGACACTATCAACTCCGGCTCCTACGCCAACAAGAAGAGCCTCATCGACCAATACCTTACTGCCTCCAAGGGCAAGAGCAACACCGAGTCCCGCGCCATCGCCAAGAGTCTCACCGGTGCCGACATCTTCTGGAACTGGGAATCTCCCCGTACCCGCGAGGGCTTCTACCGCTACCAGGGAGGCACACAGTGCGCCGTTAACCGTGCGATCGCATACGCGCCCTTCGCCGATCTCATCTGGATGGAGAGCAAGCTGCCCGACTACAACCAGGCTAAGGAATTCGCCGACGGCGTGCACGCTGTGTGGCCCGAGCAAAAGTAAGTCTTTTTTCTTCACCCTTGAGTTTCCTATACTAGCGCCTCAAACTAACAAACCCTCCCACGAACTAGACTCGCCTACAACCTCTCACCCTCCTTCAACTGGAAGAAGGCCATGCCCCGCGACGAGCAGGAAACTTACATCAAGCGTCTCGGCCAGCTCGGCTACGCGTGGCAGTTCATCACTCTGGCTGGACTGCACACCACTGCGCTTATCTCGCACCAGTTCGCGAAGGCGTATTCGCAGAACGGCATGCGCGCCTACGGCGAGCTTGTGCAGGAACCTGAGATGGAGCAGGGCGTCGACGTCGTCACCCACCAGAAGTGGAGCGGTGCTAACTACGTTGATAATCTGTTGAAGATGGTTTCTGGCGGTGTGAGCAGTACTGCTGCTATGGGTAAGGGTGTGACCGAGGATCAGTTCAAGAACTGATTTATTATGCGGCTCATGTCAATACCCTGACAGCCTCGGCTGTCTGTCTATATATGTGCTTGATGTCTTGACTTTTGTTGATTGTGGCGTTTTCTTTTTTGTTTCTAAACAGTCTTGATTTGATTCCCTGTCGGTCTTGCTCTCCTGTTGGATGAGTGAGGTGGCCGATTTATATTGCATTTTGGAAATCACAGCATATTGATTTACATCTTGAATGTGAGTTTTTTTGGAGGTATTCTATTGAATTTATAGATAATTATAGAAAGCTCTATAATGCTAAGTTCGCAAACGGTAAATGGGCCTCTGGGGAGTCAGGAGGAAAAGACCATAAGCCCAACAATGGACTATCAAGCACACCGCTTGGGAAGGGAGACAGGATAGATGCAGACCATGTATCAACCTACAGCCCTGAAGATCTGACTGTGGATGAAGAATCCACCCTTCAGTTCAGGTATAGGCTGCAGAGAGAAAGTCGTCGTATAGGTCAATGGCTTAACAGACCCATCATCGACCTGGGACATGTCGCTCACAGTTAAATTCCCAGTAACAACCACTATAACGCCGTGGTTAACCGATGGGCTAGCGTCTACAGACGCGATGTGAGTCTTGACAGTCCTCATATTGGGTCTCTAAAGTCGCAAGTTAGACGTGGATATTCATCATACACTCACTTTCACAGTGAGAAACACTCACGGTTAAGTCTGCTATAATCTCCTGTGTACCTTGATGTTGAATGCCGTCCCATATTAAAATCGATTCCGGATGCTAATCCAAGTCAGCTTCCTCTCCATAGGTTCTATAATCGCCTTGTCTCCAGCGTATGCTTTGGACTAAGACATACATAGTACTTGTCCATGTGGTTCCTTGCGTCCGGGTTATTGAACATATGAAAGTACTGCTGAACAAAGTCATCTCGACGAAGTTAGCAATTATTAGCTGGGTGAATATTTTGGCATGAGAGTTATTGAAGATGATGGATCAAAATAGGGAAGTCAGGGCTGCATACGGGATACTGCTTGAACATCCATTGTCTGCTGAACGTAACACTTGTTAGCAAACTTGACTCTGAGGGTAGTTATAGTCGAGTGTAAAAAGTGTGCAAAACGTAGACCCAACGTTTTATTTGAAAGTGATGGTGGCGTGGGTAGAAGAATGAGTGATGCAATCGTGACTTCAAATGCACATTTATATAGTCAAGCACGAGTGTCCACCCCCTACGTAATAATAGGAAGGTGTTGGCAATACATTGAGTTGCTGTCAAAAGTCTATGTACAGACTGTAGTTTTCAGCTATACATACATTAAAAACTTAAACCGCGATACTGGTGGTCGATCAATATCTAATTCCGGCTAGGCAGATCGAAGGATAGCTTTTGTCCTACATCGATACCTATTGTCTCGATCTGACATCCTTCAGTCAATAAGATAATCAGCCAGTTTGGCCTAGTGTTATCCACGGGCATGCAGCCCTCGATGTCTTTGCCCTGGGATAACAACTTCGATACTTGACAGTTCGGGGTAAAAGCTCTCAAGAGTGGTGCCGTGTTCTATTAGTTGCTGTATTGCTGTGGTCATTGGACGCGGAGGAAAATCACTAATAGTGACAGTCGAGAATGTATGTGATGTACCTCACCCCATCTTTACCCACGACTGTGTTGCTAGCTGAACTATACTGTGCGTATTGAACTTTGTACAATTCTCTATTATCCTGACAGATAGTTAACGTGCTAATTGCGAACTCTAATATTTTGATTTTTCGATACGAGACAGATCGTGGGATTCCTAGCCCAGTACAGAGTATAAAATATGAATGCTAGATTCTGCAGAAGTGGCGCCAGACGTTTTGATATGGTTGGAAGAAATGAACTATCGAATGGAAAGCGCTGTCGTGGATACCTGATAAGAATTATGACACCATATTCGACGACATACGTTAGTCTAATATAGACGTTGCTGCGCCATTCTATACACACATACAAGCAGCCATCTACCAGCTGGAAGTAGCTCTGTAATCCAGGCGCTAGCCTGTCTTAGGCCGCTGCACCTGAGTGGTTTACATGAGAGCAATTACCCGATAGGCCAAAAGGCCATAACAAAAACCGGAACGTCCAATTGTCACTGAAGCGGTATGTATATTAGTCTCCGCTAGACAGCTCTGACTTGTTCGGATTGTTGATGATTTCCTAGTGCCTGGGCAGGTCCATGGGTCCAACGGCTTGGCGGGTCCCGGGGGTTAATTGCTCTTATGTCGTCACTTAGAGGCGGGGACAAGGTACGAATCACGTGACTGACATGTGATCTCCAACATGGGTTTATTTTCATACTCTTGGCTTTAACACGGACACATTCAACGTCATCTAAAGGGACGTTCTAATACCTCTTCTCTCTTTACGCCCTTGAAATTATCTAAGACTTACTATGCGACTGTAAGGGATATGATTGGCTAAGGAAAGCGGGGTTCGCGCTTTTCCAACCTTGGAAGGTTGCTCCCAAAGCAGGCAACCCCCAACGGCTACTAAGCGAAGAAAGGCTCCAGAGTCGACAGAGCCGACAGAAAATCCAAGAAACCACCCTTCCAGAGCTTCTCGATGCTTGCCATGTTCACCTTATTTCTTGGCTTGGCCATACAAGAAGACCCAGACTCATCAACCAAAGGTGACCCAGCAAATGCAGACGATAAGCTTCGCCCAGCTAAGATCCGGGGGTGGATGGGGTTCTCGCAGGAGCAGGAAGCTATATGGGAGGATCTCATGGGCATCGATTTTGTCACCCAGCGCCACTTTGTGCCGCTGATTGTGCTGAAGCGGTATGGGGAAGACGTCCGACAAAGCATGTTGAGTTCAGAGCTTGATCTCGGCTATTTTGAACACTTCACGATAGAGTCGGTGTTGCCGATATTATCAAGGAACTCTATGCAAGCCCGCAAGTCCGAAAACTCTTTCGCCTTAAGGGAAATGTGACCTTCGAAAACCATGCGATCACATTAACGCCCGAGTCAGTAGTGGCCGACATGAAATCCCTAAGCTTGACGCAGAATCAACTACGTCACTCAGCGCGATTGGCCGCGAAACAGTCCGATAAGTCTCAACTTCCACTTGCTTCTCAGCCAGTTGCGAAAAAGCAAGGGCCTGTGCTGCGAAAGCCGTCTCGACCCCGAGCAGACCAGTTTTGTGTGTACAACAAAACAGGCCCCGAGGAAAAGGTTCCTGCCTTGACTGTCGAATACAGAGCGTCACATAAGCTCACGCTCGCGCATATTCAGGCCGGGCTCTCGGACATGGAGCTCGACCAGGTGGTCCGTCATCAGGAAGATGAGACTTCAGAAGATATTTGCCGGCGCGTTGTGGCTGCAGTAATCACACAAGCATTTTCATACATGATCGGGGGGGCTGGAGTATGGATATGTGTGTACTGGCGAAGCATTCATGTTCCTTCGTTCCACACGATGATCCCCTTCCACTGTGTACTATTATCTATCGGTGCCGAGAGAAGACGTTGGTGATGCAACTGGATGGACCGGTAACCCGAGTGACGAAAACACCGCCGCGAAGTATTCAGTGGAGAACCTCGGCAGAGGACAAACTGGTCAAATGGAAAATGATATTTGACGACCTTCTCGGCGAAATATCGGTTCTAGATTTGCCCTCTTCAGCATTCAAGGCCCCGCGAAGCAGTGACAAATGCTGTCGTTTGTCTCCTGTCAAGACACGATCAAAGTCCACCGTTGCAACTTTCGCATCCTGCACTCCTTTGGAGGCTCTGGGTTTGTCCGAGTTTGACGATTCTCCCGACGGACCCGGCTCGCATACCCCCAGTCGAAGGCCCCGGGGTACCCGCTTCACCGATTTCTCAACCTTACCACCATCGTCAGCTGCAACAAAGTCACGAGCAGGCTCTCACTCGAATGGCAAGTCTCGCCAGTATTGCACGAAATGGTGCCTCTTAGGCTTGGGCACGAGAGGGGTATTGGATCAGAAATGCCCCAATGTGCTGGATCATGGAGACTGTCGACATCCAATCAGTCAGGCGACACTCATTCGTCTCTTGAGTCGGCAACTCTCTGGGCTTGACCCGCGGGCCTGACCTGGAATTTGGATGAGAGTCATTGCATATTCATGGCACACGCGGAGCCCTTTTTAAGGTGACTTCGTTGTCTCACGGGCACACCTTCGTTGGCAAAGGTGTCTCTATCGAGTTCGTCGAACGCGTCCAACATGAGGAGTACATGTATTCGTGTCTTTGTCCAATACAGGGGGTGCACGTGCCGGTTCTACTGGGTACATAGCTCTCCGTCGGCCATTCTCTTACGACGGCATCGCGGAGATTGTGCATTTGATGTTGATGGGGTATGCGGGAAGGACGCTGGCTAAGCGACACGAAATTGAACGAAATCAGTTAATTCGTCAAGCCGAAGACTCGCCACATGCTATTCACGGATTAGGCGTGCTCCACAGTGATCCGATTGCCGGGAACATGGTCTGGAATGAGGATACCGGTCGGGTAATGTATATCGATTTTGAGCGAGCGCAATTCCAGGAAAGACGGCCTCCGCTGGGATCTGTGTCTCCAAATTCAAACGCAAGCAAACGACCGACGCATGGGAAAAGACCCCTAACAAGCGCCCTACTTGCTTTGAGCTTGAAACTCGGCGCATGAGGCTTGCCTTGAGATGGTAAAGATGGTAACCGGGACAATCAACAGTACAATGTACTGTATCTATGCAGCAACCTTGGAAGAAGAATTTGTTTCCGCCCAGCTATGCTGTTGTGCATCTGACCATTTGCGAATGGACACGATCCAGCCCTGGAGTCCCCGGAGAACAGCGCTTGCTTGGCTCCTTGCCTTCGCGATCCTTAGCGACGAACTTGAAAGGAGGGGTGCATTTTTAAACGCCTGGAAGTCGATTACATCTACGCTCTTTTGAATACCCAATTCAATGATTCTTTTTTAAATACGTAGATTCCCATGGATATAAGACACTGTTGGCATACAACATACCGAGTACTCACTAGTGAAAACGCCAAGCTAATAAGACTGTCCCCACCCTTTGATTCGTCTAGAACATGCAGAAAACCTCCAGAGGTGCCGATCATATCGAGCGGGGCAATTCGTGTGAAGCCGCGGTTCGTACTTTGATACTACAACTGTAGAGGTCGCATTGGGGGTGTAACTATACATAAGCATTACTGTCTGAATTCATATATTCGCATCCTCAAAGCAAAAGTGAAAGAAAAGGAGTCGAGACCGGCGCAAAGACCAAAACCAGAATGAGCCGAGAGCTCGGAGCATGTGCGGAGCCTTAAATGTTGAATAGGGGTACAATAGTACTGTGCTTAGGAGTACGGAGTACTCCGTCTAGTAGTACGGAATACTATGTACTGTGTACTCCGTACGAAGTATCTACAGATGTATATCAGAGCTATGCAGGTACATGCTACAAAAGTAAAATTACCTAGGTAATTACTGAACTCGGAATGGCTGTTGTAGATCGTATTATGTACGTAGTATGCTATGGAGCGGGGAGTGCCCACACTTATATACCCAGAACTCGCACTTTTCCACCTTCTCTCTTTTTGACCTTATTTATCTTAATTTATTTTCATCATGGTTGAACTACCGGAATTTGAACCTACTTCGCTTGACGGGATTCCTGCGCGTGTCTCCACGGCCCGCAAGGCGTTCTATGAGCACAAGACCCGCGACCTGGAGTTCCGCCTCGTCCAGCTGCGCAAGCTGTACTGGGCGTGAGTACTGACCTATTTTGTCTTCCCGGTTAATTAACTAACACCCTGTCAGCATCAAAGATAATGAGGAGGCTATTATGGAGGCCTGCGCTCAAGACCTGAACAAGCCTCGGTTCGAAACCAACCTCGGAGAGAGCGGATGGCTCCTGAACGACATTGTCTTCACGACGCGCAACCTGCGCAAATGGGCCAAGGATGAGAAGGCCTCCGATATCGATCTCGCCTTCAAGTTCATGAACCCCAAGATCAGAAAGGATCCTCTGGGCACTGTGCTGGTCATTGGGTACACCTCCCCTCGCGATGCGCACGAGATTTGCCCGAAGGCTAACAAGCTCTTTCCACTCTAGTGCCTTTAACTTCCCCTTCCAATTGACTCTCGGTCCCGCCATTGGTGCCATCGCCGCCGGAAACACCGTGGTGATCAAGCCTAGTGAAAATGCCCCCCGCAGCGCGGCCGTCATGCAAAAGATCATCGAGGCCAGTCTCGACCCCTCGTGCTACGCAATTATCCAGGGCGGTATTCCCGAGACACAAGCTTTGCTCGCCGAACGGTGGGACAAGATTTTCTTCACTGGCGGCGCCACCGTCGGACGGATCATCGCCAAGGCCGCTGCACAGCATATGACTCCCGTCGTGCTCGAGCTGGGCGGTATCAACCCAGCTATTGTGTCCAAGAGCGCGAACCCGCGTCTTGTCGCTCGCCGCATGCTCTGGGGTAAGCTCCTGAACGCCGGTCAGGTCTGCACTTCGCAGAACTACCTGCTGGTCGACAAGTCGCTCGTTTCGGAGGTCGTACAGGAGTTCAAGAACGCGTACAAGGAGTTCTACCCCCAGGGTGCCAAGGGCTCGCCTGATTACGCGCGCATCGTCAATGAGGCCTCATTCGCTCGTCTCAAGTCCATGCTTGATAACACTAAGGGCAAGATCCTTATGGGTGGCACTATGGATGAGAAGGAGCTGTTCATCGAGCCGACCGTTGTCCAGGTCGACTCGGTTGATGACTCCCTGTGCTCGCAGGAGAGCTTTGGTCCCTTTATCCCCATCTTGCCTGTGGAGAACCTCGACGAGGCCATTAGCCTGGCCAATGGTGTCCAGAGCACGCCGCTCGGTCTCTACCCCTTCGGTAACAAGGCCGATGTGGAGAAGAGTAAGTTTCTCTTTCCCCCCTTGTCTTATATCTGATACAGCGCAAAGACAGCCATTCTAACCCTCTTTTCTAGTTGTCTCTTCCACCCGCTCCGGCGGCGTTTCCTGCAACGACGCTGCGCTGCACATCCCAACCCTACCCTTCGGTGGTGTCGGCGAGAGTGGCTACGGTGCTTACCGCGGCCGCTCCAGCTTTGACGTCTGGGCGCACCGCCGCCCCATAACTTCCAGCCCAAGCTGGCTGGAGTCCATCCTGGCGATCCGCTACCCGCCGTACGCCGGCAAGATCCGCAAGTTCAATGCTGCCAACACCCTGCGCCCTGACTTTGACCGCGACGGCAAGAAGCTGAGTTTCGGCTGGCTGCGCTGCATCTTCACTTTGGGTGGAGGCAGTGCGAAGGCTGGAGCCGCCAGAGTTACTGCTCTTGCTGCTAGTAAGTGATCCTTCTAATTTCCTGCTCTTTTCTTTTTGCGATTTATCTGAATATTTTCTACATCGTGCACATATGTGTCTCGTCGTGGGCTTAACCTGGTCTTGGGGACCCAAGACTTTTCTCCTTCGGATAAAGAAGACTAAATCCCGAGGTCCCTACACCAACCCCCCGGCCGTCTGTGGCTGCTTATATGGTTCAGACAACGAAGACGCATAATCCCTGCCTATCCAATATACCCCCAACCTCATGTACTGGCTTGACTCTGTTTATCCCCTCCAAGGATGTCTATTTTTACAATTTCCTTTTGACCTTATCACCATTCTACCTGCTTTCTTTGAACACGTTGCCATCCCCGGAATTGAGGGAAAAGAGATAAGCTCATAACCTGTGAATATGAATGAATCTTACCTTTCATTCTATTCACATCTGTTCCAATCACTTCAATCTGCAGATCATACCTATCAAAGCTTTTGGAAATTACAGTCTAACCCGTAATAGTTGCCTACGTCGTCCTACAGGTCCTCGAACGCCGATCTTCGAAATTGTGAACATGAACACTTGCCCCTGAACTTGGATACCATTTTTGATCGACACTATTCCATCCAAAGCAGTCGCTTAGGGTCTACCCCGCTGCTTTGCTGCTGATCACTCCTTGCCTTGGTATGGAGAAGTTGGGCTTCGGCTTGGATTCGAATGTGCGCCTGACTTCGCGATCTACTATAGTAAAATAATTTGCCATGTAGGTAAGTACGTATGTACTTTTTGGATTTAATCGCTCCTTTCAGGTCAGTTATGCTTTTGTTTCTGATATTTGAGCCATGTATATTGAAAATTTTCTATTCATTTATGCTTTTTGGTTGCCTTGGTGTATTACCGTGTAGGCGATTCTTTAATCCATCTACATAGACATCATCGCATTGGTATTTGTGCCTCGGATATCCCGTAATAAAGGAGCATAGAAGGGGAAGGGGGTTTTTGTACAAAAAGCAAGCTACGGCATTACATCAAGGTAAAACCCCAGTAAAGAATTTAGACAGATCCGACATTCATATCATCATTCACGCTGTCAAATGCAGTGATTATCGAACGCGCTATCCGAACCAGACAAATGACTCGGTTCATCTGACCGAAAAAAGAAACTAAATCAAATACATCGGGCTCTAGCAACGCCGTTCCACGCCACGATTACTCACACACAGGTACTTGACACCCTTGTATGGTTTGACGCTTTCGCCTAAGCCGCGACTGCGACGCTGGTCGATGTTGAGACTGTCCACTTTGATACCAGAGGGAAGCCAGCCTCGCACGGAGAAGGATACTGACGCCGAGTTGGGCATCAGGCTTGCATTGAGCTGGGCTTTTGTTCTGCGCGTGGAACGGGATGTAGATGATGGAGCGAAGAATGCGGGGAGGTGCGCGTTATACTGGGATTGTGATTGGAGAGGGGGTGTGGGGGTTTGAGGTATAGAGGTATTTGGGGATGGGGTGGTAGCTGCGACGGGGTCTTCTTCCACGTCTTCTGGTTGTAAGGCAGCGGAGCGGGAGGACTTTTTTGTTGACTTCTCCTTCTTCTTCTTCTTTTTACGCTTGGAGGGGTCGGAGGATCGAGTTTTCTTCGATGTACTGGCGGATGCATCGTTGTAGGAGGTAGGCGCCTCGTAATAGCCCTGCAGGAGGTTGGCATTGGCGTCTTCGTCGGCATCCTCGACGCTGTCTTCCAGGTCATCATCAGCGGATGCATAGCCTGAAACACTGCAACGTAGTGTGGCAGTGCCAGTCAATGTTCCGGCGTCCTTGCCAGTGGGAATCCGCCACTCGAGGAGCCCGGTTGAGGGAAGGAATTGAGCGTCACCACGGCTGGCCTGCATGTCCGTGATATGGCGGACGGACTTTGAAATCGGTACGCTAACAACAACCTCTTCAAGTGCTGGTCCTGAGCTTCCACTTCCGCCACCTAGGAATGACGGCGTTGATGTGCCAGATCCGCTTCGGGCAGCTCCAGGCCGCGAGGATGAGCTTTGGCCCGGGAAATTTGTGTTCAAAGTCAGTCGAACCTCAAACTCGGAACCAGATGGCCCGAGCGATTTACGGATATCCACGATAGCAGGCAGGAAGAGCTTTTCCATATGGCTTGGTGGCTCGTCCAGGTCGGGATCTATAGGAAGGAGATCCACTTCGTATCCAGCCAAGATAAACCGCCCATCGGGGGGTATGAAGCTGAGCTCCCCCGGCCGCTCCTTCCACCGCGCCAGTCGAACACATGGATGAAACACTGGTAGTTCGATCTTGCGGCCAAGCACATGCTGCCCACCCGGCGCTGATAACGATAGCAGTAGGTCCGGGACTCCCGATATCTTCGCAGTGAATGCGATGGTCCCGGATACCAACGCAGACAGCAGTCGTCCCGAAGGAGCCATAGTGACAGATAGAGATTCAATGATATCGACATATAGCTCATTAGAGGTATGCCGTACACCGGGCCGTCGCCAAGGAATGGCGGGTCCTTGTGATGCACTGGCGGCGGCGAGAGATTGCTTGAGAGGATTGGTAGATCCTAGCGCTGGCGTAGATGTCCTAAAACCCACGCGAACTCATTAATACGAGATAATATCGGGTTGTCAAGCCAAGAGCTGCTCACCCAGGTACTCCGATTCCACCGAGCAGCTTCCCCATCCACCCGGGCACCTCAACAACCTCCTGCAATGCATTGGGTTCGGTATTGCATACCGTCCCGCCATCACACATTTCATTAAGAAGCTGGGCAACAATATTGTAATTGGCCTGGATCTTAGTTGATAACAGCGGTGCTCCAACAAGGTCCTCCAGCACATCGATCACGCGGTGCAGGAACTCCAGTGCTAGAAGCGGCTCAGTGTCGATTTCGCTTATTGCAAGAAACAACAGATTCGACTCAACCGTCGAGAATACCGTCACCGGCGGTGAAGCGCTAGGAATATACAGCAAGGAAGGGCGTGGCTCGGCATGGGCAAGGTAGAGGGGCAGGATGGCGGAGGCCGAAGGCGGGCGGGATCGATATACATGTTCGACGAGAGGGGCGCTAGGGAGAACGGGTTAGTGTGGCCTTGCAAGTCGGGTGCGGAATATCCCACTTTTGCTCGTCATATATGTAGACGGCATCAATCTCGCCGCTCATGGTGACAGTTGTCTGATGATGAGATTACTATGCTCGGTGTAGATCGCATAGCTCTCGTGTTTTGCCGCCGATTCCCGCCTTCCGATAACTTTTTGGAGACAAACAGACATCAACCCATAGTGACCGAGCTCTGGTGATACGGTGCGCGTTTGTTTCTTGTTCTTGTTCCGAACAATATCGAAATACGCTCTATACACGTTCATCTCCTCTGATAAGCCCGCCATGGATACCCAGCCGAAAAACGCTAAGCAGGCCCTGGCCGAGGACAAGTACGACGACTGTCTGTCCTGCAGAGTGACTGGTACGTTTTATTTTGAGCCTGTGACCCGAGCTTGTATTGCTAGCATTTTGTACTGACACCGCCGCAACAGGATCTGCTGCTTTTATTGGCCTCGGAGTCTACAGCTACTACACCGGAATGACCAATCTCCGGAAACAAGAGAAGGCCATCATGCAAGGCCCCACAAAATACAAGATGGGCTCACGCAAGTTGGGGATTGCCTCGATATCTGCGACATTATTGGGAATGGGGTTGTGGCGGGCGTTTAACTGAGCATTGTACATTAAACTTATACTAGGGCATACGCGATGTGACGAAAGCGGGGGCACAACAAGCTGGTTGCTTGATAGCGAAGTACAGGTTGGAAGCTTTGTAAGATATTGATTGTTATTTAGTTGCAAGCCAATGATAATTGCCACTCCGGGTATCGGGTATCACCACAGGCATATCCGTCTATATGCTATGTCACAAGGGGAAGGGGGAAAAATAAAAGAAAGAGACAAGAAGACATCAAAGAAACCCAAGGAAGAGAAGAACAAAACGAAACCATATGCAAAATGCCCCTTCCTTGTTATGCACCCGAAAAGCACCTTCATACCCGAAATCTCAACCAGCCACTGTGTGACAATCAGAAGGGAATGGTCGTCACTTCGTCATCATATAATACTTTATCCAGGTCAAGCCCTAGGCAAAGCGGCCTCGTTTCCCACCTCCTCCTGCCATATCTCGTCCGTTGTTAAGTCCTGACAGATCGAAGAAATCCGGGAAAGTGAATTTCCTCTTCGAACCAATAGTAGCGGGGGACTCCCGTGGCGAAAGGCGCGCGTTTGATCGTGGGTGATTGTTGTGACGATGGTGTGGTCGACTGTTACGAGGCATCACTGAGACGCTCACAGGAGCGCCGTCCTGCATCGTCGCAGATGAGTTGTCTGACGACTGGACATCCATGTCGAGCTCTTGACACTGAGGGTATGTAGGACCAGCAGAAAATGTGAAGACAGCGGGTGTGGCGAAAGAAGGTGTTTCGTGGACTTGTGTGGGAGGAGTGATCGACTCTGGCTTGGATGCGGGTACGGGAGCTGAAGTGGGGGGCTGACGAGGAATCGTTTCGGGCGTAGGTTTTTCTTTGCGAGCAGTAGCTGGTGTAACACTTCGGTCACGCTTGTCAACCTCTGCGTCTTCATCGCTGCTTTGCGATCCAGTTCCGTCGCACTTTTCAGTTGCCCATTGTCGAACCTTCCACCCCTCTCCGTCTCCGAGACCGAGGTTCTCACGGTCAAGGAAATGGAGAAGATCCTCTATCGCGTCCTGGTATCCTGACGACCTTGCCTGGGCCTGTTCACATACTGCATTCTTATACAGGTTTGTGACAGATAGAGCTGCCGCCTTGAATTGCTGGAGGAGCTGCTCCGGAGGTTGCGGGCGGGGTGTCGAGCTCGGAAGAGAGGTGTTGAGGGACCGCATGGAGTCCATGGCAGGAAAGGATGTCAAGGCCCTGTTGTGAGAAGGTTTTGAGGGTGAAAGTGTTTGCGTGGACAATTTCTTATGCCGTGCGCCGTGCGTCGTTCGTCGGTGGCCAAATGGCAATAGCGAAGAGCTTGGAGGTGGTGAAAGAGAGAAGTGGGAATGAGAGGGACTGTAACAAAAAAGAAGGCAAGAGCCAACACAGCCAGAATCAGAGATATAAAGGTAGTTGTCCACCCAGCTGTGCAACAGTAAGCACCAAGATGTGTCAACGGAGGAACTTTCAATTTCAAGGTTGCTGCAGATGACCGCCCTGGCCCGGTAACGAGAAGCCCACTTTCCGTCGGAATAACAATATTCCATACCGCAGGCCCTACCGAAAGGCGGTATCTTCATTTGCCATCGACGCGCTTTGAATACCTTCAATAATCCTAGAATTGTTCAATAGCATTCATTATATGGGACCCCCATTGATGAGTTGCTCCAAATTTCAAATTTACCCTGAACTATATTCGGACAATTGCCCTCACTTCCTCACCACTCCGGCCCTAGCTGGTTCTTTCTTCCTGCATACGCGATCCGACTAATCGCGAGCTTGCGATATTCTTTGTTGCACGGTCAAAGACGTGTTTAAACAACCAACGCACCTGCACTGTGTTCACTAAAATAAAACATGGCTCCTGCCCTCGCGTCTGATCCGATCTCGCAGGCTGATACTCCCATGACTGATACAAATGACAACACGGTCCCTTCGGTGCCCGTGGATAGTGCCGACGCGCAAATGGTATGTGAGATTGTTCCTACTTGTCTAGATCAAAGTTCTGGCATCGTATCCCATATATATCTCTACCTTTCTCGTTTCGAGCTCATGCTAATTTTCTTTCGCGATCTAGAGCCGCCAAGATACTCCAGATTACACGGTAAAGGCACCCTTGGTCTACAACGCTATGTTTTAGAGAAGGAAAATTGCTAATTATCTAAATAGGACTCTGACACAAATCCCAACACCACTGCAAGCAGCGTTGCGGGCGACGCCGCGGCCGATGGACGTAGGCGCAGATCTGAGGCCAACCACCTCAGAAAAAGCATCCTAGGCAAGAAGCATGGCCGCCTCGATAATACGAAGGTATGAGCGATAACATAAGATTGCTGATGACCCTTTGCTGATACGTGATGTTTTGCAGGAGGATGACTCGATTCGTCGATTCCGATACCTTCTCGGTCTCACTGACCTGTTTCGCCACTTCATCGATACGAATCCAAACCCTCAGATCAAGGAGATTATGGCGGAAATCGACCGACAAAATGCAGAGACGGAGGAGAAGACCCGCAAGGGCTCTAAGCGCAGCGGGGGTGCTGGTGGTGAGCGGCGCCGCAGGACCGAACAAGAAGAAGACGCAGAGCTGCTCCAAGATGAGAAGCAGGGCGGCGATAGCACCACCGTCTTCCGAGAGTCGCCAGCATTTATCCACGGTGAGCTGCGTGATTACCAGGTCGCAGGCCTGAACTGGCTCGTTTCGCTACATGAGAACGGTATCTCCGGTATTCTGGCCGATGAGATGGGTCTCGGCAAAACCCTGCAGACGATCTCGTTCCTAGGCTATCTGCGTTACATCTGTGATATCAACGGGCCTCATTTGGTCGTCGTGCCGAAGTCAACCCTGGACAACTGGAAGCGAGAGTTCGCAAAATGGATCCCTGACATCGATGTCCTGGTGCTCCAAGGCAACAAAGAAGAACGACAGCAGTTGATTAATGAGCGCTTAGCCGAGGAGGAGTTTGATGTTTGCATCACCAGTTATGAAATGATCCTCCGCGAGAAGTCGCACCTGAAGAAGTTTGCCTGGGAATACATTATCATCGACGAAGCCCATCGGATCAAAAACGAAGAATCGTCATTGTCGCAAATTATACGTCTTTTCAACTCCCGCAATCGGCTGTTGATTACTGGTACTCCGCTACAAAACAATCTGCATGAACTGTGGGCTTTGCTCAACTTCCTTCTCCCAGATGTCTTCGGCGATTCGGAGGCATTTGACCAATGGTTCTCAAACCAAGAGTCCGACCAAGACACCGTAGTACAGCAACTCCACCGTGTTCTCCGCCCTTTCTTGCTTCGACGTGTCAAGAGTGATGTCGAAAAGAGTTTGCTGCCGAAGAAGGAACTAAATCTCTATGTCCCAATGTCTGAAATGCAACGGAGGTGGTACCAGAAAATTCTGGAGAAAGATATTGACGCAGTCAACGGCGCCGCGGGGAAGCGCGAGTCCAAGACCCGCTTGTTGAACATTGTCATGCAACTGCGGAAGTGTTGCAACCATCCCTACCTGTTCGAGGGAGCTGAACCAGGTCCTCCGTATACGACCGACGAGCATCTTGTTTTCAACTCCGGAAAGATGGTCATTCTGGACAAACTTCTAAAGCGCATGCAAGCGGAGGGTAGTCGCGTGCTCATCTTCTCTCAGATGAGTCGTGTCCTGGATATCTTGGAAGATTACTGTTGTTTCCGAGACTACAACTACTGCCGTATCGATGGTACTACCGCACATGAGGACCGCATTGCTGCCATCGATGACTACAACAAACCCGGATCGGACAAATTCGTTTTCCTTCTCACCACCAGAGCGGGTGGTCTGGGTATCAACTTGACCTCAGCCGATATCGTCGTTCTTTTCGACAGTGACTGGAACCCACAAGCTGATTTGCAGGCCATGGACCGAGCTCACCGCATCGGTCAAACAAAGCAGGTTAAAGTTTTCCGATTTATCACAGAGAAGGCTATTGAAGAGAAGGTTCTGGAGCGAGCAGCTCAGAAACTACGCCTGGATCAGCTTGTGATTCAACAAGGTCGTTCTGGACAACAGGCCAGCAAAGCGTCTTCGAAAGAAGACCTCCTTGGCATGATTCAGCACGGTGCTGCCGACGTCTTCACCAAGGGTGCGGATACAACCGACATGGCCGAAGATGAGGATATCGAGACTATCCTGCGTAAAGGTGAAGAACGAACTGCAGAGCTCAACAAGAAGTACGAGACGCTCGGCATTGATGACTTGCAGAAGTTCTCATCCGAGAGTGCATATGAATGGAACGGTAAAGATTTCACCGAGCGGAAGAAGGATATTGGCATCAGTTGGATCAACCCAGCCAAGCGTGAGCGCAAAGAGCAATTCTATTCCATTGACAAATACTACCGCCAAGCCTTGGCCACTGGAGGCCGAACCGCAGATACAAAGCCCAAGGTCCCACGTGCTCCTAAACAAATCACTGTCCACGACTGGCAGTTCTTCCCTCCTGGTCTCCATGAGCTCCAAGAGAAGGAGACGGCCTATTTCCACAAGGAAATTGGCTACAAGGCTCAGTTACCTGAAGGCCCCGAAGAGGAGCTCAGTGAGCGAGAGGCTGAGCGGGACCTTGAACAACAGGAGATTGACAACGCTGTCCCGCTTACTGAGGAGGAGCAAGCCGAGAAAGCTCGTATGTCAGAAGAAGGCTTTGGAACCTGGAACCGACGTGATTTCCAGCAATTTATCAATGGATCTGCCAAGTTTGGTCGCACTGACTACAAGGGCATTGCCACTGAGGTGGACAGCAAGGAACCCAATGAGATTAAGGAATATGCCGAAGTCTTCTGGCGCCGATACACCGAGATCCAGGACTATCCTAAGTACCTCCGAGTCATTGATCAGGGTGAGGAGAAGGTGCGGAAGATAGACCACCAGCGGAAGATGCTCCGCAAGAAGTTGGAGATGTACCGCGTGCCGCTTCAGCAGCTCAAGATCAACTACACCGTGTCCACCACCAACAAAAAGGTTTACACCGAGGATGAGGATCGATTCTTGTTAATCATGCTGGACAAGTATGGCGTCGAGGGTGAGGATTTGTATGAAAACATCCGTGAGGAGATTCGTGATTCGCCTCTGTTCCGATTCGATTTCTTCATGCTCAGTCGTACGCCGGTGGAAATTGGTCGCCGCTGCACTACTCTGCTGAACACCGTGGCCAAGGAATTCGAGCCCAGCGAGGGCAAAGGCCGTGGTCGTGATCGTGATGAGGAGGACGAGATGGAAGAAGCGCCCCCTGCCAAGAAGAAGGCTAAGAATGGAGCTGCTGTAAGTTTTGTCTGATCGATTATCTATTACTTTGGGTCTAACTTGATTTCCTTTTTACAGCCGGCCAAACAGGCCAAGGCCGCCAAAGGTGGTAGCAAGACTGCCTCTACCGCAAGCTCCCGAGCTCCTAGTGCCGCTGCAACCAAGTCTAAGAGTCGCAAGAGGTAATCATGTTGATTGAGGGTCCACGAGTGTGTACGTTCGCAGTTTGCTAAGGTTATTGGTGATTCGGGTATTAAGGGCGGGTTTGTGATCGGCGCAGATGATGTTTTAATGTACTTTTGTACTTGAAATAGAGTTACTTGTTTTGCTTCTAAAGGCTTATCATATAATCCTTGTATACGGAGTAGTTAATCCCTGCATCTTTGGAAACCCGTCTGACCGGAGTCCGCATCACCGTGCAGATCGAATACCACCTGCTGGCGCCATCACACTGCTGAAACGACACTAACCCCAAGTCGTCTGCAATGACGGAATTCAGGTTTCTTAAGATTTCGCCTCCATCAATAATCTGGCATGATCCTCACTAGGCATCGCAATACTTAAAAGCCATGACGACGCTTGTTTCGAACACCCATGATAATATTCCAGCATAAATCCTTAGGGAGATCCCAAGACCCAGCCATCCATCCTCAAATTTCTCAAACCGAGACTATCAAAACACCCCACCATGACTAGAATCAAGCTCATCGCGAACCCGCACTACCGGAAGTCCGGCACGAAGTCGTACTTGTATGCCATGCGCAAGTATCGCTTCACCCCAACCAAGGACGGCCCGTATTTCCTCGGCACCACAATGGTACAAACAGGCCGACAATTTACTAATAAGCCCGTGGGAGGCCGTGCACGGTTGCAGCAGGTGCTGCAGAAAAAGGACGCCGTTAGCGATGAGGTCGGGCAAGTGGGTGCCCACGACGTGCAGAACGACTCGAGGTATCTTGCAGAAATTGGTATTGGCACTCCTGAGCAGGTGCTCAGTTTGGAATTTGATACTGGGTCTGCGGATCTGTGGGTAAGAAGATGTTCTTCCATTTTTTTCGCGCCGATGTGAAAGCTGCTAAGAGTGTCTAGGTCTGGTCCACGGAGCTACCGCCTAAGACTTTGTTGGCGAATAAGAACCATAAAGTCTTCGATCCGACCAAATCGAGCACCTTCAAAGAAAAGGATGGCTCGACATGGCAGATTAAGTACGGTGATGGCTCTTCTGCCTCTGGCACGGCCGGCAACGATAGTGTCAATATCGGCGGGCTGGTCGTCAAAGACCAAGCTGTTCAGATCGCTGATATATTGTCGGAGCAATTCGCACAAGGTGCTGGGGATGGGCTGTTGGGGCTTGCGTTTGGTAATATCAATACCGTCAAGCCCCAGGCCGTGAGCACACCTGTGGAGAATATGATCTCGCAGACCGACATCCCGAAGTCGGCTGAGGTCTTCACCGCGAAGTTGGGGTCATGGCGAGATTCCGATGAGCCGCATAAGGGCGAGTCGTTCTATACATTTGGTTATATTGACCAGGACACGGTTAAGGCCGCTGAGGCAGAGATCTACTACACGCCTGTCGATAACAGTCAGGGGTTTTGGATGTTCGACTCTGCCTCGGCGACAGTGAATGGGAAGTCGGTTTCGAGGGCTGGAAACAAGGCTATTGCGGATACAGGGACTGCTTTGGCGCTGGTGGATGATGGGACTTGTCAGGCCATTTATGATGCTATCCCCGGGGCAAAGTATCACAATGGCAGCCAGGGATGGATCTTTCCGTCCAATACACCGGCTGATAAGTTGCCTGTTGTTTCTTTTGCTGTTGGTGAGAAGCAGTTTGTTGTGCAGAAGGAAGATCTGGGGTTTGCTGAGGCCGGGTCTGGTTATGTCTATGGAGGCATCCAAAGTCGTGGTACTATGACCATGGACATTCTAGGTGATACCTTCCTGAAGGCTATCTATGCAGTGAGTGATATCCATGGATGTTTCTTCAAGAGTCCAAAGTCGCACAAACTAATCTGATGGTTAGGTCTTCGATGTGGGCAATCTTCGCCTTGGTGCGGTGCAGCGAAAGGAGCTTCATCAGAATCTCTCTGTGCCTTCTGAGTCCAGCTAGGCGTATGCACCATGTAAATTGGGCTGTTAGGCTTACTTGTAATACACAATCAGACGTCCCGGATGTTCATTTACTTCAGAATGCACTTGCCGCTATATCAACAGGAAGAGAAACATGCTACAATCCACCAATTAAAACAATCTCACCAAGTGAAAAGCGCCTTTATATGCATAGTCGAAACATAGTATCACAGATCCGCCCATTTAATGACGGGCTTGATAACCTATAAGAAGTATATTTATTAGCTTGTTTCATTGAAACATTGACGTTGGGGCACTTACACTTCCAGAATGCAAATCTCCCATGGCTTGCTCAAACTCATCCGGGGCATAGATCTTAGCAAGCTTATCAACCGGGAATCTCCCTTGCTTGTATAGATCGATCAATTGTGGAACAATCTAGACGAGGGAAAATTAGTCATGGCTCAAGCGATTGTCAAAAAGAGTACTCACCTCAGCGGGATTGGCGCAGCCCTCAATCACACCAACAACACGCTGGCAAGCCATCATAAGCGCCAAAGGATCGATATTGAGAGATGAGCCAGCACGAGCAACACCCACAATAGCTAGGGTACCTTCATGGCCCAAAGCTTTGACCGCAGCCTCGAGCAAAGGAACTACGCCTGTCGTGTCGAGAATACAGTCCATGCCATCCGGGAATATATCTAACAGTCCCTGTGTAAGATCCGATACACTCCTCATGTTCAACGTATGCGATGCACCAAGAGACTTCGCCAGCTCGAGCTTCGCGTCAACAATATCAACCGCGATAACCGTTTCGACTCCCTGAGACCGGGCAGCCAGCATAGCCGCCACCCCGACAGCGCCCATGCCAAGAACAGCAAAGCGACTTTTCGGTGTGGGCTTGAGGATATTGAAGACAGTGCCAGCACCAGTGAGATATCCACAGCCAAGAGGAGCAAGGACCGCCATGTCCTCGACCGTGACTCCAGACCCTGGAGGGGACTTGACGACCGACCACTCGTCAACCACAGCCAGCTTGCTCATGGAGGACTGACCGAAGAACTGGCCGCGGATTGGGCCCTTTCCCGCAGGGAAAGAGATGGGTGACTCGGCCGCGCTGAGACCTCGAGCCCCGGCAAAGTTAATGGGTGTCACCTGGCCGCAGAATCCGTTTCGGCCTTCGTTGCAGGGACTGCATGATTCTTTATGACAGGAGCTGAAACTTAGGAAGACAAGGTCGCCTTCCCGGAGGGACTTGTCTTTGACGTCGCTGCCAACGCGGCGGACAATTCCGGCACCTTCGTGACCTAGTACGGCAGGATACTCACCGATAGGGATTGCGCCTTGTTGGACGACAATGTCCTAAGGTTATTTTTGTTAGTCTCGGTTTATTTGGAGAAGTTCATTGCGGAGTGGATGATACATACTGTGTGGCAAAGGCCGGTATACTTCATTTCAACCAAGACTTCATTTGCCCGGACTTCATCAAGGATAACATCTTGAAGAACAAAAGGAGCTCCTGGCTTCTCAACCACGAATGCGGCGGTTGGGATCTGTTTTTCTGGGATCATGGGGATGGATATATAAGGGATCTTCCTATGGAGTGATAGATATGTCTTTAGTGTTCACAAATGATGAAGACACATACCTTTTAGGGTCAAAGGAAAATGTTCTTAAGGAACTAAGAGACAGCCTCTCCCCCGCCCCCGGTTTCCCCACAAAACTTCGGCCACGAGTTTCGGCATATCTCAAGATCTACCTAGGTATGTTTTGGGCTCTGATTTTGCTTGGATAAAACGTCATTACATATAGGTGGTACCTCTATGTAATGTATTTCCTCTAGGCTTTCCTATCTTAGCTATGCTCTTATGCACTCAGAGTCAGGCTGAGTAAATTTCACTCCAGGCTCAGACTCAGTGAGCCGATACTTGTACAGGGATACTATGCGCATGAGTCTCAATGCTGTTGTATTTGCTTTTGAAGACATCTCGAGATTCAATATGGGTGCATTCCTCATCGATATTCTTTTGCTGTTTCAAACTGTTGGCCTTGGAAACGCTCCGAGTTCTTGCTTTGGAATATAAGAATTCCGCTGGAGTCTGTTTGATATCCCCGCGTAGACCGAGAACATGTAGTGAGCTCACAGTCAACATAGATGAAATATCAGAACTGCCGTCTTTGCTAGAACATTCTCCTAGACCTCTGTATTCTTGTATTCTTCAGGTCCGTATAAGCATGCGTGTCTGTAGCTGGAAGGCACAACAATGACAAAATCACATGGCCCTATATCTCATCTATCACAGCTCTCCAACCTCCACTAAGGCCAGCCAGTATGAACACCAGAAGACAAGACTCGACGGCTAGTACCATGGCCTAAACCAAGGGTAAGTCACTATTCTCCATTTAACGCAGAAATGCTGAGCGAAAATTCGGAGTCAAAACTACTTGGGTTTCTGAGTAAAAGCCCAACTGAGGAGATCGGCTCACTGAGTACAATCACTGGCAACATGGACAAGGTGGACTGTCACCAACCTCTTAGTGAGAATGATCACACTCTACTTGTTCTACACGCCTTTAATACTCACCTTCCGGCAGATGGAAGAGTGAATTTCTCTGGCACCTTCGGTTTTTGCAAGCAAATCAGCAGATCCACGATCATGCTGAGTCATTGATCAACGGTCTGCTTGCCCCAATGCGGACACACCGGTCGACACCCACCATACCCCCACGGGCTGGAATGGAACGCTCGATTGAGAATGTTGCTTCGCAATCCGCTGATGAGCCGCTGGCGAGAGAATCCCGTCTTAAATCAGAATGTCTGAAGCGCGATGGGAATAAGTGTGTTGTCACTGGGCGTTTTGAGAGCCTATACGGAGTGAGCCCATATCATTCCTCTTTGGTTAGCGATATAGAGAGACGGATCTGAATAGTATGCCAGCGAGCAAAGAGCGTCAAGGTCTGAGCAGTAAAAAGGAAATCATGTACATAGATGGGCTCAAAGAGGAGATCCTTCAAGATATATGACCAACCCTAATTCAGAACAGTCACGAAGAACTTCGAATCAAAAACCCCAATTATGTGCTATTGTACAAATATGCAGTGCAATGCTAGAATACATAGTTATTACAGTCAAATTACCACATTTTCTCCTTTCCCATGCTCTTTTCCATGTTCTTTTCTTTTTTGGCGATCTCACCCACAGTCATGGGGGTTCGCAGGAACTTCTCCATCAGTAGCGCAGCGGCAACACTCACATTCAGACTATCGATGCGGGCAGGATCAGATTCAACGCCCAGGATGGAACTTTGCCGTGCACCTGGAATACTGATGATTGCATCTGCATGCGACTTGATATGCGAGCTCAATCCAGTAGCCTCACTGCCCATCATTATAACACTAGGCGCAGTAGTGATGGGCAATTTGGCCCCGCTCTGATCGCCGTCGGCCGCGATGTGATCCAAGTGCACGGACCCAGGAAGTGGTGCATCTGCAGCATAGAATCGCCACCCGTTCTGCTGGGATCGCTGAATGAAATCAACTTCATTTTTCACATGAAGAATGGGCATATTCTCTGCTGCACCAGCAGAACATTTGATTGTGATAGGAGACAATGGCGCGGAGTTGCGACCCGCTAGAACAATTGCATCGACACCCAGGAAATAGGATGAGCGGATTATGGCGCCCATATTACCGGTATCGACCACTCCATCCAATAGCAAGACAATTGGGTATCTATGGTGTTGTTCGGTTTGTTGCGGGGGCGGGGAAGGATGATGGATCGGGATACGATCATCGGTGCCATTTACCGCGGCTTCTTCCCGGGTTTGTGGCGCAAGCTCCGTCCGGAAATACTCCTCAGATATAGATGGCACAGCCTGCAGGCCACGCACTGGCAATTTCGGTAAAGGGGATGCCTCCAAAATGCACCCATTGTGAGGTCGCCCAGCGCTCATCTTATCCAAAAGTCGATCCCATCCTGCAAATGCCATTTTCACTGTGATGTTCTTTGACAATGCCAGTTTGCGGATTGTGACTTTTGCTGCACTTAGCTCTTCCTCCGCGCTCTGATAGATATAGAGCTTGTACAGTTGACGCCGACTGCAGCGTAGCGCCGCCTCCACGGCACTCGTTCCGTAAACGAACTCAGATGCCGGTGTAGTGTAGGGGATTGTGTCGGGCACTTTGACGTTGTCCTTCACCCGCTCTGGCATGCTGTGCGTGACCCTGTGAGCTCTAGGTCTTGCTGGCTCCTTCTCCCGTGGTTCATCCATTGGAGGCCTTCCCCGTCCCGATTGTGTGAATGGACCATCTTGTGTTCGTGATTGGAATCGAGACTGGAATCGAGATTGATGTTCACGAGGGAGTCCCCGGAAGTCCCCAGAACGAATGAACTCATCCTCGTCGAACTCAAACTTTTCTTCCTTTCGGCTTTGTCGTGCTGATTGAGAGCTGTCGTTCCATGACGATGGTCGGCGGTCATAGTCTTTACGACCTGCACCGTCTGATGTCCAGGTTTTCTTCGCTCCGTACTGTCGCTCACCCTGGCCGTAGTTTCGATTAACAGCGGAGTTCAATCCCGATCTCTGGGGCTTCTGTTCTCCATACTGTCGCGCTCCATATGTCCGACGGTCATTGAAGTTGGGTTGGTCTGACCTCTCGTATTTTTTCTTTCCGTACTGTCGCGCTCCGTTTGTTTGACGCTCATTGAGATTAAACTCACTTGATCTCTCGTATTGTCGTTTAGGAAAACTGTTACCGCGACGATTATCTCGGCGAATCCCCTCCCCAATCGCTGAGTTCAATGATGCATGTCGGATCGCCAAGGCTGTAGAATGCGAGGAACTGATCACTCTTGAAAGACTGTTCAATCCCGTTCTCGAGATAGTACTGAGCATTGCGCGAAGTTCTGGTCTTCGTAAGTCCTCCCGTTTCACCCGTGGGCGATAACTTCGATATTGATCTTGCGCGATAGGTCTGTACGCGCTTCCGTTCTTATCGATCGTTATCGGCTAAACGCGCAACGCGATCTGTGTATGCCATTGAGGTCTTGTCGAGTTCGACTTTCTCTTACCTCGCTCTCAATTTCATTCATACGTCCATTTTCTCTTCATTCCTTAGTATCCATCTTTCCTTTGAGCATTCAGTCAACTCAAAGCTTGCTTGGTTGCCCATTAGAATCATCAATCCTACCATCTTTTCCATACTCATGTCACTGCTCTCAGTTCATTTCACTTGTCCTTTCCAATCCACATTCGTAGGATCCGCACGTGCGGTTCCTACAGATCCAACCTTCTCTTCTGATTCTTAATTTGATCAGAAGATCATCATGTCTCAATCCAGAGACAATTCCCCAACTTCTGATGACCCTAATGCGATGGCTATGCAATTGTTAGCGCAATTCCAGAGCGCTTCCTCTCGCCAGGCGCCCATCATGGCACCTAAGGGCCCTGAAAATGCTCTTCATCCAGTGCAACGGATCACTGGAAACTCAGAAGAACCAACAATGTCTTTTGAGATCATCGTCCCAGCGGTTAACAACCCTGAGGACTATGAGTATTTGCCCGGTCACTTCGAGATCCATCGCATTCTTGCAGTTGATATGCATGAGCCGAAACTCATTGTCAGGCTCAAAAGTGGTGAACGTCAAACAGTAAGTGAACACCAATCAATCAATCAATCTCAAGCTCCATTCAACTGACCGTGACTTTCACTAGATGACCATCGAGAAATTGAAAAGCCTCAAGAACGGTCGGGAGGCTTTGCGTGAATTTAACCGTGACTCACAGAGTCCTGATCCCCTCGCATTGGACCACAGACCCATTTCACATCTCATTTACTCGGGTGGAGATGGTCCTGCAGACTATGATTCAGACATGGATTGGGGAATCGCACGAAGACGCCAACGGCGTGGCCCGTCCATCTCATACGACCATTTCTTCCGCAGTGACGATGAAGATAAAGGTGACGACTACCAAAGCCGCGGTGGAGATAAAAGCAGCGTGCAGATAGACTCAGATGAGTCCAGTGATGTGGATGGAGATGATCCTCCAACCAAACGCCGCCAGTTGAGAAGAGGTGTACAGAAGGGCAAACAGCGTGCTCGCGAATGGTCCGAAGAATCTTCTGCCTCCGATACAGGCAAAGGCAAGCGAACATCATCCCGCCTACGACAGACCCGTCGACGCAATATGAAAGAGCGACATGAAGACGACGAATATTCTGAGCCCGACGTTGAAGAGCCTAAGCAGCAAAAGTTCTCGGGCGCAAGGGAGCAGTTCCTCGAACTACCAAACGACAATGAGTTCAGACTGTGCCACTCCCAGTCATGTGCCCAATGCGGCTATGAAGATTATGACCTCGAAAAAGGGTCTTTGATTTTCTGTCAAGGCTGTACTGTGTCCTACCATCAAGGCTGTCTTGGCGATCGAAGCAGCCGAAAGCACTTGGCCACCAAGGTTGACGATGGAGATTTCATTCTTCAATGCAGTCGGTGTTTGGGGATCAAGCACCAAGAGCATGATATGAAGCCTCATTTGGGCCACTGTGCCGTGTGCAGAGAGGAAGGACCCATGTCGCAGCCTTTGCGAGAGACTCTTTCTTCCCAGATCGAGCAGCAATTGCGGGAAGCCAACGACGGCATAGATCCAATTACCCACGTAGATATGTCCCGTGTAAACAGCGTTGACAACGTCCTTATCAGATGTCTTGGTGGCAGTGACAGTTGCAAACGAGCCTTCCATATTCAGCATCTACCAAACATGGTAGAGAAGGATCGTGCCAACATTGATCCTGACAACTGGCAATGCAATGACTGCTCTGAATCTCCTCCTGGAGCCAGCCCCATCCACGTGATCGTTGCTTGGAGACCAAAGAATTTCAAAGTCGAGGTCGTCCCCCGGTTGGTTGAAATGATCCCAGAGGTCGAAAAAGAGTATCTCATCAAGTGGCACAATATGTCTTACTTCCGTGTCACCTGGTTGACTGGAGACTGGGTCTGGTCCAAGGCTCCTGCTAGCCAGATGAAGGCCTTCCTCAAGTCAGACAGATCCGCCAAACCCATCATGACAACAGCCGAAGCTGTTCCCGAAGAAAATCTGCGAGTGGACATTATTTTTGATGTCGAATATTACACCGAGCCCGAATCCCAAGAGGATCGAGCAAACGCCGAGATGGTTAAGCGGGCATATGTCAAGTACAAAGGGTTGCCCTACGAAGACTCAGTCTGGGAAGATGCCCCAAGTCAGACCGACACAGCTCGTTGGGAGGATTTCCAGATTGCTCTTATCGACAGGGTGCTCCGAGAGAATATTCACCCGCCTAGGCCGAAGGATCTTGTAAGCCGTCTCCGAGATGCCCGCGGAGAGAAGTTTGCCCAGAGCCTTATTCTGAACGTTCAGCCGGCGTTGGTGACCGGCGGTGAGCTCATGGAGTACCAGCTGGATGGCGTGAACTGGCTGCTTTATATGTTCTTTAAGCAAAAGAACGCTATTCTTGCTGACGATATGGGCCTCGGAAAGACAATCCAGGTCCTCACCCTGTTCTCGGCATTGATTGAAAAGCTCGAGTGTTTCCCATTCTTGGTTGTTGTCCCAAATGCGACTGTGCCAAACTGGCGCCGGGAGATCAAGAGCTGGTCGCCGGACGTCCGGGTTGTGACCTATTATGGTAGTGCCTTTGCTCGCGAGATGACCAGGGATCACGAGATGTTCCACGAGAATGGCACTTTGTGTTGCCATGTGGTCATTGCTTCGTACGAGAGCATGTGTGACGATGGGACTAAACGAGTCTTGTCCAGTGTCAATTGGGCCGGCTTGGTTGTTGATGAGGGCCAGCGCCTCAAGAATGACAAGACCCAGCTCTATGAGCGCCTTCAGCGCATGAAATTCAGTTTCAAGTTGCTGCTCACTGGCACTCCGCTTCAAAACAATATCAGAGAGTTGTTCAACCTCGTCCAATTCGTCGACCCGACTTACAATGCCGAGAAATTGGAGGCCCAATACGCAGGAACCCTCGACAAGGAAGCTATTCGCGAGCTCCATGACATGATTCGCCCATGTCTCCTGCGTCGAACGAAGGCAGAGGTTCTGCCGTTTCTTCCCCCGATGGTGCAGATCATCATTCCGATTTCGATGTCCGTTGTGCAGAAGAAGCTGTACAAATCAATCCTTCAAAAGAACCCGCGGCTTATCAAGGCTATTTGCAAGAAGCAAACCGGGCCGTTGAAGAAAGCAGAACGCCATAACCTGAACAACATCCTCATACAGCTGCGGAAGTGTCTTTGCCACCCGTTCATTTATAACCGCGACATTGAAGAGCAAACCGGCAACCCCACGCTTTCCCACCGGCGTTTGGTCCAAGCATCCGGAAAACTTCAGTTGCTGAACTTGATGCTACCGCGACTCCGAGAACGTGGACACCGCGTCCTCATTTTCAGTCAATTTTTAGAGAATCTCGACATCGTCGAAGACTTCCTCACTGGACTGGAACTCAAGTACCGTCGCCTGGATGGAAGCTCGAGCTCACGACAGAAACAGAAGAGTATCGATGACTTCAACGCGCCGGATTCCCCGTTCTTTGCCTTCCTGCTTTCGACACGGTCGGGTGGTGTTGGAATCAACCTCGCCACTGCCGATACGGTCATCATCATGGATCCGGATTTCAATCCGAAACAGGACATGCAGGCGCTATCGCGCGCCCATCGAATCGGGCAAAAGAATACAGTTCTCGTGTTCCACCTGGTAGTGCGCGCGTCAGTGGAGGAAAAAATAATGCAGAAAGGTAAAACCAAGATGGCTCTTGACCACGTACTTATCGATCGCATCGAGGCCGACCAAGATGAAGAAGACCTGGAGTCAATCCTCAAGCATGGGGCGCAGGCACTGTTCAATGATGACGACTCAGCTGACATCACTTACGATCACCGCTCTATTGACAGGCTGTTGGACCGTAGCCAGGCCGAGCAGGCTGAGCAAGTGGCCGGCGAGGGAAGTTCGAACCAGAATGAGCAGGCGCTCTTTAATTTCGCCCGCGTGTGGCAAAAGGACCGAGGTAGCCTTGAAGAAGTGACGGAGGTTGAGGATGCGCCTGTGGATGTTACGGCGTGGGAGAAGATTCTGCAGGAGCGTGAGCGTGAAGCGCAAGAGGAGGCTAACCGACAAGCTGAAGGTCTCGGGCGTGGTAAAAGAAAGCGCGGCACGCCCCGCTACGACAACACCATCATCGAAGGAGTCGACGACGATGAGGTTCCTAGTCCTATCCGACCCAGGCCTAGCAAGATCCGAAAGGCCGCCGTCGACAATGACTACGAGTTCCAACAGCCAGATGATGGGGATGAAACTGACACGAATTCCGAGGCAGGAGCAGTGGCAATTGGCACTGCCTATCATGGTGAGTGGGATATGGGGGCTAAGCGACTGACCACTGCAGATGTTGCAGCTGGTCCTAATGTGGATATAGTGCAGGGAGGTAAGAACTAATTCAGTTTCCATTCACATCCTAGTTACTGCTTTTTCTTTTTGGTTTCAATTTCTACCCTATCGTTCCTTAATTGCGTGCATAACAACACATTTTGGTTAACATACATGATTCCGCTGCAGCCCGCGCGTTCCGCCGGGTTGACTCCCCGCCCCCGATAGCACCAATGGGCACCGATGGCGCCCAAGATGGTTTCCCGTCTTGTGTGGCCTGCCAACAACAGCACGTCCCTGGGTGTTGCCCACTCCGTCTCGCCGGCGTCGAGTTCTGTGGGCTGTGCGGCTTGGCGCACTGGGGAGGCCGGCGGGCCTGCCCCCACCTACAGTCACGGGTGCAGGTCGCCCGCATTTTGGAGGCGCTGGAGAAGAGCGCGGAGGCCCCCGCCCTCATCTTGGAGGCGAAGAGATATCTTCAGGGTATTCTCAAATCGGTCTCGCGGACTGCTCGGGATGAGCGGAAGAAGGCTTCGCTTTCCGCTCAGGCGGAGTCTCAGGTTCGGCTCACGTCGCCCTCAGTTGGCGGGGCAAGTCGTGCCACTGTCATTGATTTGACAGAGGCAAGTGCCGAGTCGTAAGACTCACCTCGAATTTCTACTGCCGTGGCCCCAGTAGGGGCATCTTCTAATCACTTGGTAATCATCGTCAGAGATGAGCACCGGCTCCTCTCTTTCTGTCTCTTTCTGTCTCTTTTTTGCCTTTTTTTGCCTGTGTATATTGCATCGGAGGAGTTCAGTTTTTCGTCTTCAAAAAAAGAAGAAAGGGGAAAAAAAGGGGGGCGTTCTAGGCATTGTGAGCGAAAGATACCCAGCTTTGTTTTGTTTGAGTTTTGAGAGAATCAACCCGAAGTTGTATGATTACAATATTGCAAGTATCATCATTGATACGGACAATGTGATGGCATCCTAGAAAAGTAGAGAGATCTAGGGGTATAGATAACTTTTAGTTCTTCAGGTTCATTTCCTTTTGTTTCTATGGGCTTTTGAGCAAACACTTTACGACATACATGTATGTAGAATCCTAGATGAAGGTAGTACACGACCACAAAGCAATGCAAGTCAAGCAAACGTCTGCTGTTGAAGAAACTCAGCTACACAGTCCTCCAGCTACAAGAATCTCACTATGCAAACCAGGAGGATTGTTAGTGGTGACATGACTAGCAACAAACCAATATTTAAAGAAACAAAGACGCGCAGACGGACATCCTTCTTCTTCACTTCTCCACATATCGCCATTCCCTTCCTTCATCATTCATGCAACTTCATCAACCCGGGTTCATAACATGGTCCACCCAAAGAACATCATCATCGAACGCACCGCCTTGAGCAGGTGTTCGCAGAGATGAAGCAAGACCCCACTGCTACACCGCAGGTGATGCCCAAGACCACACAGGAGTTCGATGAGCCTGGTTTCTCGAAAAGCATCCTTCAGCCTCGAACTGCAGATGATCCAGTCAAGATGGCAGATGATGACGATGATGAACAAAGTTAGTCTCCAAACCCGTAGAAGAGCTATTGCCCCTATGGAAAGTGGACACATTAACAGCTATATCGATGATGTAAAAGATTCATTGATCAAGGTTGACAAACATGACCTTGATTTGGTGGCTGGTCTTGAAAACCAGAAGACAGCTACTGGAGTCAACCAGAAACCATCCTCCGAGGATATCGACATGCCCTTGGCCCCCAAACTCGATCCGACTGAGCCGCTCACCAAGGGTCAGAAGCCGGACCCTGATTTGGCAGCTGGTCTTGAATATCAGAAGGCAGCTATTGGTGTCAAAGAAGATCCATCTTGCGAAGATACTGATATGCCGTTGGCCCCTACAATCAATCCAACTGAGCCATCGATCAAGGTTGAGAAACCTGATCCGGATTTGGCAGCTATCCCTGAAGACCAGAAAGCAGCTACTGTTGTCAATCAAAAACCATTCTCTGAGGACTCTGGTATGCCATTGGCCCCTACAATCGATTCAACAGAGCCATCGATCAAGGTTGAGAAGCCTGATCCTGAACGGCATGCCGCTACTAGTACCAAACAAGAGCCATCTTAGGAGGATATTGAGATACCATTGGCCCCCAAGGTCGACCCAGATGAGCCGACGGGCAGTTATGCCACTCCAACTCTAAACACAGTCTCACCCCCTTCGGTTCCCAATGATCTTTTGGAAGGGACACGTACTCGAGCTCCCCTGAGTCTTCACACACAAAACCACAAGGCCAGCTCTGGCTCGTATGCTTCAAGCAATGGGAAATTCAACTGAAGCTCGGCGAAAGACTACTTGATTGCCAAATTACCCATGGAAGTTCTTCCCGCCGTGGCCAGTGTTTGCTGAGGCATTCTTGATGTGAGCTAGTAAGCATTCACTAGCCACAACAATCATAACCCAGCTAACTTGGTGCTAGCTCCCATCTAATCTGATAAGAGACCTGTTACAGCTGAAACATGAGGTGAACAACGCCTTAATGGTGGGTGAGCCCACTGAAGGTTCTACGATGCATACCAGATTGTTTCTGGGAAAGCTCATCGACTATCCGCCAGGCCTAGGGCCTCATTCGTACAATTGGCCTTGCAGAATGCAGACAAACTCAAGTCGAGAGTACGAGAATATAGGCGGAAGAACCTAGACAAAATCAAGTCGTACCAACAAAAATGGCTGCAGAGAAACGCAGACAAAATCAAGTTGAGGAAACGAGAAAGCGAGCGTAAAGTGAAAGGCAATCAGTCAATACGGAAATCAGAGACGCGGCCCAAGCAAGAGGGCCAGTCAGACGACCAGTTCAATCCAGACGACCAGTTCAATCCATATGACCAGTTCAATCAAGAGGTCCAGGTCAAGCAAGAGATTAGCTGTCGAATTCCTGGGATGAGCTATAGGAGTGGAACATACCATGGGCCAAGGTGGCCAGGATAGCCTTGGCAGAATCACAGTTGAAAAAATTTGTCACTCTAGTTGTTTTTGTTTCTATGGAAGGTGCCTATTTGGCTTGGAATCTATGCTAGATTTGGTGGATTTTCTAGTTGGAAAGGTGTCCCAAACTTCGGGAGGTTGTATTTCGCAGCCGATGTTGACTCGAACGGTCGAGTTAGGTCAAGCTAAGTCACGGGGTCTTGACCTGAGCCGCATTGTCAGCTACGAACGACATCCGACACGACAGGAAAGGAGAACAACACCAGATGATATTTGTGACGCCTCTTTTCGTTTTGTTTTCTTTCGGCTCTGGTTATGTTCGTCTGTTTGGGCTATTTCCAGGCTTGGATGAGTTGTGGTGACGCCGCCTGAAAGCACTTTGTCCTATTTTCAAGCAAGCAATACAAGTTCTCCTTAGAAAGAGAAATAACTAGTAGTCCCTCCTAGGATGTTGAAAGAAATGTGTATACATCTAGAGGTAATACAGTTGACATAAGGTAGCCAAGAACGCTGAATCGAGAAGAGTCGCACCAGGTTGAAGAGGTATCCTTAGGAGGGAAGATTACTCACACATACCAGCAATAGATTAAAAGACAAATTTATTGTCATTCTCACAAAGTAAGTCTTCAGTCTTTGTATTAGTAGATCCTTCTTGTCCCGCCCTCTACCCGTGGACGCAGCGCAAAGGACAATGACTATCGGGTAGCCTTAAACATGTATAGTATTGATATAATCGCATTTAAAGGCAAGGAATACGCAGAAGTATGACGGAAGGTCAAATTTAGAATTGGACTAAGTATGTTCCGCAGCCAGCCGCTCAACCCTGCCAAGACATACGTTCATGATGCGTTTATAAGGGACTCCGAATGGTACACAGCTTATTAGTGCATTTCAGTACTCTATTTCTACATCCTTTTAGATTTTCTGCTCTTTGATATGCAGAGAAACGATATATCCATATTATCTGCAACATTGTACCCTCATTTCCTGATCTGATAGACCAGGGTGCCTTTGTCTCCGTGGGGATCTTATTGTGAGCTTAAAGATAGATAGGCCCTGCGGTAGATCCAGTGTATCTAGTGTATCCAAGACAGTCAAGTTAATTGTATAGATTAATACGTATATCTCTTTGATATGTAGACAATTAGCACGGCCAAGCTTCATGATCTCAAAGGCTCTCCAATATATGAGATTGTGTTTCCCTGAACTTCAGTTTCTCGTCTCATCTTTATCCAAATTTGCTGTTGTCTTGTTTGTCCCCAGGGCTGTCACCTTCAGAGCTGTTTATCTCTAGGGCTGTCCCCTGTCCCTGTCACCTGTCACCTGCCCCTTCTGTCGCTTGTCACCTCCCATAACCCTCTTCTCCCACAAACGTCCTCTTCCCACTTCTTTTCTTCATCTCTCTTGCTTCTTCCTTTTTGTATCACATTCTTATTGCACAATCTTATCCATTTCAATCTCTCATTTTTATCTTGATCAAGTTTTGCTTTTTGTCAAGATGGCGACTCCTAGTCGCCCTCAATTTTTCTGTACCCGCCCTGATGGCAGCTTGACCCCACTGGTAGCTGTTGATGAGCTACCTACTAACGTCACCATCCGTGGTGTCTCTCGCACACTCAATGCTGGAGAGACCCAGGGTATGACCAGCTGTGGCCTGGCTACCCGACGTCCTGAACCTTGGTCTGTTGACGGGGTTACCCAGTCCTCTGGGCGTGAGGTTGAAAAGAAGGAACCTCTTCCTGATATGCACAGCCTCCTGCTGCAGATCATCACAAACAAAAATGTCCCTGATCCCATGCGGGCATCTGCCCAAGCCATCCTCTTCCAGGGAGTCGACGGTGCTAACGGGCTTGCCGGTCAAGGCACTCCTACCAATGGACTGTCTCCAATTGCACCAAGCTTTTATGCCAAGAATCACCAGGGCAATAAGCATGTATGGCTGAGTCTCCTGGCACGTTATAGTTCGTGTTTCTAACACTTTCAATGCAGGCCCCAAGTTCGAAGAAAGAGTATTGCTCTTACTGGATTCGTCATGGCGAATGCGATTATTCTCAGCAAGGTAAGTTGACTGAATGGCCGAGACCCTATGAGGCCTCGACTGACGCTGTGTTGCATAGGCTGTCTCTATAAGCATGAAATGCCCGATGAGCAGCACTTGATCGAGAAACTTGGTCTCCGCGACATTCCCCGCTGGTACCGCGAAAAGCACAACGTGAAAAGTCTTTTGCATCCAGACCGAAACCGTCCACAGCTTGCCATTGCGGACCAGCCGCCCATGCGGGCTCTGCCATCTCCAGCTTCGCCTACCAACGAGAGCTACGCCAGCAAAATGTCCACTATCCATGCCAACCCGAAGCTGGACAAGTCGCCTCCCCAATTCAACAAGTCCCCTCCTCGCGGACCAGCCAACCGTGGAGGTCACAACGGGTTTGGTAACTACAATCAGAATCGAGGCGGAGGCCGTAACGGGGCCCCGAATGGACATCATGGCAGTAACTGGAAAGGTACCCACCGTGGTGGTCGTAACCGAAACATGGGCTCTGTTCGTCATGGCATTAGCGGCGAGCGAGACGGCGAGCGCAGCGGCGAGTGTTCCCCCGGCATGGAATCCGCCCCAGCCACCTACGATTATGCATCTCATGGATTTGGCGGCAACCAAGTCTGCACCCCGACTACCCCGGCCGCTGTTCTGGCCTCGGTTCCAATCACTGTCTCGGCTACTGGTCATGTCGCTGCTCCCATGGCTGGCCACCAATCTCTTCTAGATGATGGTAACTCCTACAACCGAAATGCATACTGGAAGCTCAATGAGCTGACCGAGTGTAATGAAGATATGTTTGAAGATGCCTCGAACAAGCCGGTTGAAGCCCATCACCGTGTACAGCCCCGCCACATGTATCAACACAGCTCAAACACTTCTTCTGATGGCGGTGTCATGCTCCCGAAGGAACCCGCCGCAACCTGCGATTCGAACTTCGTTGCATTCACTCATGTTGATATTCCTTCTCGCAAGGAGTCAGAGTCCAGTGGCTCTCATGCTACCGTCCAGATGAATTATGGACCTTCCACTCCCCGGATTGGAGATCTTCAGATCACCGACAACGTGCCCCTGAACTCGGCCGACACCCGTGTCACTTGGGGTCCCATTGGGGGTCCTATTCTCAAGCGCACATCGCCACCTGCTGAGAACATTGCGCACATGTTTGAACCGTACTCAAACAACCAACATGGCAACTAATTGGATCGTTTCAAACCATTTTCACTTAGGCGTGCCTCGCCTGCGGTGGTCAACATACTACCTACCTGCATGATTCCACTCGCTGATCGATTCCATCCTTTTTCGTGCACTTATGAGATCTGGTGCATCGTCGCGGTTTCCCTTCGATGTTAACCTACCAGGTAAAATTATTCGATATCATATCACAGAGACTATACCCCAAGCACGGAAAATGGCCCAGACAAGACGACAATCATCATGAGGGAGAGATGGGAGGCAGTCATGGACACATTTTCTTTTCTTGCAGATGCGTTTATTCTTTTTTGTTTCTTTATTTTTTGCGTTGTTATTGCGATATTTTTGTTTTTTGTTTTTGCGTGGGATTGGGAAATTGTTACCCGTTGGTGGACGTCAGGGATATGGACGATATGTTCCCATATGGAGATGTCATTCGTTTGTGATTTTTTATTTTCGATTCTGGAACTGCAGCAAGGCCTTCTCCTATCTATCTGTCATGGATAGGATGTCTTTGTTGGTTCGAGTACAGATGAGTCGGAAGTTGGCTGATGACGAGGTTGCAGTTGGTTCTGCCCACCTACTCCCTTGTCTTGGCGGAGATCTATCACAAATCTTATGCGTTGATTTTTTTCCCTTTATACTACCTTTCCAGTTCTCCAGTAGTATCTACGCACTTGAGAGCATTGAAATAGAGCTCTATAGAAAATAGCATACTTGTACGGTGGTAAGTCGAGAGGCAAACTGCAAGGAATAGAGTAAGAGCGAGCCGTCAATGCATGGAATAAAATGACTATAGTACATTCGAAAGAAAAGATGCCAAAGATCCTGAAATATGCGCCCGCGCCTCGCAAATGTCTGACAACAGCTTCTCAAACACACCCAATATACAGTTGACGAACATCTATTACCGGCGAGCGACCTTTTTCCGAGCGCCAACCTTGACAGCAACGCGCTCTCGCTCGTCAGCAGCCTTGGCCTGGAGAGCAGGGTTGAGCGAAGGCAGAGCCTTGATAGCATCGGAGACAATTGAATTACCATCCACGAGGGCAGCTCGCGTCTGCTCGGCAGATAGGCGCTCTTTGCGCCGCGCGGCCAGCTGATTCCGACGGGCCTCGGTCATGTTCCAGGATTCGGGGAATTGCAGTCTGGTCTTGTACTTGTGGTGACGGAGGTCGAGCGGGATATCGGCGAAGGCGTCACCTTCCTTGGCCTCCTTGACCATGGAGTTGACGACATCTGCCAGGTAGCGCTTGTTTTGGGCACGCGAGCCAAACTTCTCGCTCGACATGCGGATGATATCGGTCTGCGGGTTGTAGCGTGTTCCGGCTAGCTTGAGGAATGTTTGGCGCTGGGCTTCGGTGAGATACTTGGGGGTCAGATCTTGGGATGCAAGTTCCACGACGACCTTGGGCTCGGCTGGGTGCTGTTCGCCCATGTAGGTAGTATAGCGGAAGCGGAGGATGTGGGTTTGAGGAGGCAGGGTGAATGGCTTGGCGAGCTCTACAGTTCAATGTCAGTAGATGGAGAGTATAGTCCCAGTGGACAATTGATCTTACTGCTCAGCATTGGCATATCCCACGCTGTAATGCGGGCGTATTCTCTCATTTCACGGTGCAATTCCATCTCTGCGTGTGCCATGGACGTGATTTCGTCGTCATTGATTTCCTCGTCTCCATCCTCGAGTATGTTCACCAACTCGTCAGGTTCGTCTTCAGCCCAGAAACCAGGCCGACGGGGCCGAATCTCTTCGAATCGGAGATCCTCTTCTTTATCAATCTTCAAAATGCTCTGCTCGAGTTCCTCGAAGGCCGCGGCGCGCTTCCTGGGGTCGTTAAATTCGGCAACCATGCGGGTGTTCTCTTCGTCGAATGCCGCGCGCTCCTCGGGAGACATCATATCGTACATTGACCGCTGCTCCTTGGTCAGGAGATCGACTGAGTACTCAGGCATTGGGGGGAAATCCTCCGGTCTGAGTTCCTTCGGCGGAGGAGGAATCACGGGGTCATCCTGAACGCGACTGAGCGGCGAGGCGGAGAAGTACCGAGCAGAGGGGGCCATGAGGCCTCTCCGGGCCAGATTCCCGGCTGGGCGAGTCAATAACCGAGCCGCTGAAGCCATTGTTGATGTATAGCGTGCGTAGGGACAGGATCTCAACTACGATGTTTTCCGCTTCCACTTTTGCGAGGTTCACCGCCGTACGCTATTCCATACTCAGACTAGCGTGGCTCATCTACACGTGACACCATGGTATATGGTTGCATCTTGATCTTTGGACTATTCTTTCATCTTGATAATGCATCTTGGTATAATTGCTCTATGTGAGGGATGATAATTGACTGCGAGAGAGCCTTCCAAGGTTGATTTCTCTACCCACTTCGATTCAACAACATCACCACGATGAAGCTATGCTTTGTGACTGTGGGGGCCACGGCTTCCTTTCTGAAACTACTTGAACAAATACTTAGTTCACAGTTCCTCGAGACTCTATCCAAACGTGGCTACACCCATCTTCTTATTCAGTACGGCAAAGATGGCCAGCAGGTTTTCCAGAATTTCATCGACAGTGACCAGCCCCACCACGGTCTCACCCTTGGAGGATTCGATTTTCAGCCGAGCATTGATGCCCAAATGATGATGACCGTGGAAAGAGAGGCCCTTAATCAAGAGCGCGGCTTGATCATCTGTCATGCCGGTATGATACATCGCTATTTCGCGTATTAAATATGTCAGGCCTTGATCCACTTACTATCTCACAGGAACTGGGACTGTTCTGGCAGGACTTCGCTTGGGTGTGCCGTTGATTGTGGTTCCCAATCCAGATCTTGCCGATAATCACCAGCAGGAGCTGGCTGATGAGCTAGAGGCAGGGAACTACGTGATTAGTAGTTCGGTCAAGTAAGTAACCTATCCCTCCTTTATCTACCCGGCCAGTCTAGCTAACCTCTGATCAGTGACGTGGGCAATGCAATTAGCAGAGCAGAGACTCAGAAGGCCGAGGTATTGTCTATGCGACCTGGAAATACAACCCTCGCGGAAAGTATGTCTGACGAATTGAGCTTTTTGGACTAAAGGAACCCCTCTGGTGCCCTACGAGGACTGATTCACCAATCCGCTTTTGTCGACTGAACAATGGGCTTGGGAGCTGCCTTCTATCACGAATTTATGAAATCAAAATGGGCATCCATGAAACAATTGGTCCGAGTTCAGTCTGTTCGGTCTATTGAGTGTCGAAGTCTCATCTGATAGACCGTGAAGAGAATCAAGTACTTTCTAATACCATCACCGATTAACCTTTTTAGCACAAATATTTGACCTATGTTTCTTGTACTATGAGCTAGTCAGAAATATCATGACAATTCTGTAAACTTCAATTCTATTGCAAGTCCAATTTACCAGGCGTGGACTAAGAGTGGCCCAAGCTCCTTGTTGACAATTCCCGATTTGCGGATTTGCGGCTTCGCGTCCACTCCTGAATCAGTGACAGCATCAACTCCCAACCACCGAAACATTATATGCGCCTCCGATTCAACTTCCACCCCGTTGATCCTCCGAGTCGCCCATTCTAGGCCGAGAGGCCGTCTATACCCGCGCTTGTCCTTATCCGACCTCACCTCCCATCGACACTCCCCGCAATGGCTGAGGCGACTCTTCACAACGTGCCAATTGTCATCGACAATGGCAGTGGCACGATCCGAGCAGGCTTCGCCGGAGAGGAGATTCCATCATGTTATTTCCCGTCGTTTGTCGGTCGTCCCAAGCACCCGCGCGTGATGGCCGGTGGTCTCGAAGGGGACTCGTTCATCGGGTCCCGTGCACAAGAACTCCGCGGACTGTTGAAGATCAGGTATCCCCTGGAACACGGCATTGTCACGAACTGGGAAGATATGGAATCGATTTGGCACTACGTCTACGAAAACGAGCTCAAGACCCTCCCCGAAGAACACCCCGTCCTGCTCACGGAGCCACCGCTGAACCCGCGCGCCAACCGTGATATCGCAGCCCAACTCATGTTCGAGGCTTTCAACGTACCGGCCTTGTATATGTCGATTCAGGCCGTGTTGTCGCTGTACGCGTCTGGGCGGACCACGGGTGTGGTCTTGGATTCTGGTGACGGTGTTTCCCACGCAGTGCCTGTCTTTGAGGGGTTCGCTATTCCGAATAGTATTCGGAGAATTGATGTTGCTGGTCGCGATGTTACGGAACAGATGCAGTTGTTGCTGCGGAAGGCTGGGCATGTGCTGCACACTAGCGCCGAGAAGGAGGTGGTGCGGATGATTAAGGAGAAGGTCTGCTACGTGTCGCTGGATCCGAAGCGGGAAGAGAAGGAGTGGATGAACAGCTACCACAAGTCTGATGCTAAAGCGATGGACTACGCTCTTCCAGACGGTCATAAGATCAAGGTATGCAGTCTACGGAATGCTGTACTGGGGTTACAACAATGCTAATGAACCTACCTCTCAAGATCGGCCAAGAACGTTACCGTGCGCCTGAAATCCTCTTTGATCCCGAGCTCATCGGCCTCGAGTATCCCGGTGTGCACCAGATCGTGCAAGACGCCATCACTCGCACAGATCTCGACCTGCGAAAATCGCTATACCTCAATATTGTGCTTTCTGGAGGTTCAACACTGTGCAAGAACTTCCCTGATCGGTTGATGCGCGAGATCAAAAAGCTAGCAGTCGAGGACATGAAGATCCGCATTTCTGCGCCTGCTGAGCGCAAGTACACCACGTGGATTGGTGGTAGCATTCTTGCCGGGCTGAGCACGTTTAGAAAGGTATGCAAACCCCGCCTCATGCCAATCCATCACAGCTAACTAAATACCCTCTAGATGTGGGTAAGCGCAGACGAATGGCACGAGGATCCCGAGGTGATCCACAAGCGATTCGCATGAAGGGCTCTCCTATGACGAAATTCTTTGATATCATGGTGGCCTTCTGCCGAGTCAATCTGGGACCGGTCACATCCACTGCCTCGAACACGATCCCCAAGGCACCATCTCCAATCCCCAGAACAAACACAAGAAACAGATCTTGTCAACCTGGATCGATCATGATGCAATTGGCAGTGCATACCAAGAAGTATCGACCACCATCACAAATCCGAGTCGTATCCCCGACTCTTGATACCCCAGTTTCCAATTTCCTATTCAGCTCATGTCGTTTTGGCATTGGCTGTGACTTTACTGCAAATACAGTCTCTTGCGTCTTGGGGTTGGTTCTACTCTAGACATAATTTTGCTCGGACATACCTGCATACACAAGTTCTTGTATTATTGTCAATCCCATCTGCGTAGCTTGGCTGAATCACCTCAATAGACAGCATCGGGCGAGCCTGGTCGATTTATAGATCTTTGGGTGTAGCAGTGGCAGTCGATCTTATTCATTCTACCTCTGGACGAGGGAGAATAATAATGAAGATATGTTTGTTCATTCTCCAAATCGCCTCCCATTTATAACTCGACTAGTCATGGGTACCCGACGTACCCGAACGCAGATGGGCTTCTGAGTAAGGGAGGCAATTTCTTTGTTTATACAGATCTCATTTCTGTCAATGGTTGCCTTTATAGAGATTAGAAGTGAACGAGAATACATGTCGCCACATATCAACTACTATGGACTTAGAAATCAGACCGAACACCGAACACCGACTTCAAAGAATATAGAATGGCAAATCAAAATTAAGAACGTCCATGGACCCAAAGAAACAAAGGAAATTGTAACAAAGCGAATAGAATATTCCAGAGCATAAACCACAAAGGATAGTTTCTGCTGACATCCATAGGCCAACCAGAATATCCGGTCCCGGCTGTCGTCGCCTATCCACGGCTACGACGCTACAACTCGATGCGACATCTGTCAAAGACCAAATTCGCCAGAGTGGAAACACAGTGACAACGAGCACGTCTTATAATACGAAATTTACGACTACAATGATGTAATTGAAAACATTAAAGACACGTAATACAGCCAGGGAAGACCCCAGCATGCAGTTCATTGTTAAACCCATGGCTAGGAAGTAGTAGCTCAGAGTGGCGCAATATTGGGGGAATATGTTGAAAACAGAAAAGGAAACACAGAAAAGTGCGACATGAGAAAATACAAGGGGGACTCCGAGAACGATGCAGCCAGACAATTGTTGTTCGATGGCGCGATCTTGGTGTTGAAGGAAACTCCGTAGAGAAGAGAACCCGGTTTCCAGAACCTGGCGTGTGATGTAGGGTGGTTTGGCTCGAGGCGCAAATTAACCACAAAGAACATAAAGAAACGCCGGTTTGCCCATGTTGAGTGAAGAGGTTTCAATGAAATAAAGAAATGAGGTTGGGAAGACGTATGATGGTTGGATTTCGCCGACACATGCAGAAAGAAACATGATAGGTAGGAAGAGGGTCTTATGGAAAGACGGTATCAAGGAATAGTTGTCAACGGGTTGTTGTTGTCAATGTTTCGGTCTGTGGGTTCGGTGAAACCCCCGTTTGATTAAAAATGAGAAATGGTCAAGAGAGAAAGGCAAGAAACTTTTGGTCGTTATGTCGTAGATATTGATATCAGAGACGAGAAGTGGAAAGGGAAGTGTATGAAAGAATATGCATCTAGGCAGTACCCTTCAGCTTTCCCCAACCCTTCTCCAGCCCACGACGGGCCATGTCCCGGGCACGATCAGCAACGGAGCCAGTGCTGGAGTTGGTGGCCGTGCTGGCGGCAGAGTACTTGCGACTCAGACTGGAACTGCTGTAGTCGTCGCGGTACATGGTGTTGCCGGCCCCACCACGGCCGACGTGGTAGACGGGGGCGGCCTGGCGCAGATCACGTTCGAGTTCTTCGTCGAAGCTGAAGATCGCACGCTCGCTGCTGCTGTGGACATTGCCGGCGCCGCCGCGGCCGGAGATGAAGGCTGTTGGGACGCGGGAGTCGAGGCGAGCTAGAGAGGCTGGACCGGTTGCGCTGCGCGAGTCGGTGGTCTTGGTGTTCTTCAGGTTGACGATATTCCCGCATCCTCCACGGCCAGTGTAGACGGCTGGGCGACCGGCATGCGGCACCGAAGGGTGTGGCTCAACAACGCGATAATTTGATGTAGGCATGATGTGAAGACTAAGAGTAGATCTGAAGATAGATAAACAGTCTATGCTGTAAAGGACTATAAAACCTCCATCCAGTTGCAGAATTTGCAGTTATGGGTAACAAACAGCGGGGACTTCAAGTTATATAGTCCCTGGGACCTTTTTGGAGTCATTTCCAGATCCAGGCACGACATCCAGTCACAAGGTGCTGTGGGGGGTTTTTCTTTTGATTTTTCATTTTTCATTTTATTTTTTGGAATTTTGGATTTATCCCTTTTCCCCCATCGTCATCGGACTGTAGCAGCAGGAGGTATTTCCATTTTAGGTGCTATGTCAGCAGCACGTGTCCTGAAAAAGCGCCCTGTGATCTGGTTAAGGAAGGCGATTGGCCTTGAGTCTCCCCCACACGATATAACTCTGGCCGCTTTTACAAAATTGTCCACTGGGCAACCAAGTCATCTGACTGGCACTACTCCACTAATAGTGAGTGGCAAGACGTAACAGAAACTGCCGTAGCACCAATGAGGATTTCTATTACCCCCAGGAAATCCAGAAAAACCCTCATTTCAGGATCATCGAGTGTCCAGATCCCAATGCTTTACAATTTTACATAACTCACGTTATTATCCCTTGTCGTCACACCGCAACAGGGGCCATCTCTCGATCACGTCAGGTGTCGCGCAATTCTGACCATTTGAGGCATTAGGCGTTGAGGAAATAGAAATAAAATACTCACGATGTATTATTACGGACCCAGAGAGGTATTTTACTGCTCCAGCAATTGCATCATTCAACCGGCCCATTGACCGGGCCGTGTCCACTTTCTATTTCCAGAGAACAACAGGGGCTATTTGTGCAACACATTTTTCCAATTTTTCTTTGTAGGGAAGTACCCGTGATGTCAAACTGATGGCTACATCCATGGATATGTATGTTGTACAAGGTGCTATATAATGCAACTCTGTAAGCGTACGCGATATATACCGATCTGAGGATCTTGAATATCAATATCAGATCAATAGAATACAACATATACTGAAATTTCAGGACGTAGATCGCTAATGTGCGATTACCCATCGCGCTGAAATCTGCGGGATAATTCTTCCTTAGCGGCCCCCATATATCCAAGCCTAGGGCTGGTTCGCTGCACATGGTACCTGTCTTTGGAGGTCAATAATTCACTCACCGTACAAAGTAGGAGTACCACCTGGGCAATGCCTAGAATGCCGAGCATGGTGACCAGTTTGCCCCCTTGGCCCTTTCAGCTCAATGAGCCGAGGAGTCCGAGAACAGGCCAAGTGTTCCCCAGATGCTGAATGACGTTGAAAAAAAGAGAGAGAAAAGAGAAAACGCTCATGTGCGCTGACTGGCCGAGAGATCCGAGCGGCGAAGAAGACAAATCATCATCCTTGCCGGGTCTGTGCGTTTCCCATTTCCCCAGATTTTCTTTCCCCCAAGTTTCTGTCTGGGACCTGCCGTCATCCGCATGAACTTCCCCCTTGAGCTTGATGTCCCGGAAACGAGGGGTAACATGTAGGAACCAATTCCATGACCTCACGTGTTGGGAATACGTGTCTTCTGAGAGTGGCACGGCTGTAATGTCTCAAGAATCACATCCCGACCTCCCAATTGGACGAGAATTAGCACCTGACTTGAGATTCTTCAGGGGAAGGCACATGTAGCATTCTATCACCCCTCACATATCAAATACAACTATCAATCACATATAGTGCGCGATTAAACAAAACCCCCTTTACTCCGTCTTACATATCCAATCCCAATCCATACATGTACCTAGTTCATTCCATGTACTCCGTATAATAAAACAAATACACCCCGCTATGTACCCCCATTAGATAATAGCGCAGCACCATGACACATGATTATCATTGTCGCCAGGTCGAGGCCCGGTAACCGGTTAGGCGGTTGGCTTATAGCCGGGCATTATTACCGAGATATTCCAGGATCGAATTCCAGCATTTCCCTGCTCATCCGATAGCACCGGGGCATTTAGGCTTTGTATGCTGTTATTTTGAATTCGTGTCATCTCGCCAATTTGCCATTTTAGCTGGCTCGGTCCTTGTCGGTGTGACCTGTCTCTCGCTGTATCCTGATCGGGTGGTGTTACGTTTGAGGTTGTCGGGTTCGGAGGCTATAAGCTTGTTGGGTTGGGACCTTGGCTGCCTTGGTAATATGTTGTATGTATGTTATAGATATGGAATATTGTTGGGATTGGGACCTTGGAAGTCAGTTGTCTTCCAAGGTTGTTAATCCATGTCTCGCATTATTCGTGTTTGATGTTTAGACCTCCAGTTTGTATAAGTCTGAAACACCTTTCGTGGAACACAGAAAAACAAGACTTCTGAACCTGGTTGGCAGGCGTGTCTAAAATGCTTGTTCGGGACTCGTGATACGTTGGATTATTGAGTGACACTCCCATAGCACAATGGTTTCAGAAAAGGTTCATTTCGAATCTCAAATGATGCCAAGACACAACATTCATGTCACCAGAATCCCACTGTTCCATGCATCTCGCTTCCACTAGGCTCCAACAATCATGTCGAGATATCTCTTGGAAAGACAGCCCAATACCAGAGAAAAAGCCTAGTTCCCAATTCCCAGCACCGTGGTTGAGCCCCTTAGCAGCCAGGCATATCACCTGCCTTGCCAAATCCAGAAACGCAAATAGGGCATGTCGTGTCGAGCCTCGCTCTGCTAGCCAGAAACACCATTGGTGGCCAAAGCTCCCGTCACACGATCCTTGTACTGGTAGGGTTCATCATCACGAAGTCGGCAGTGGAATGGCCCCGCGGCCTTGACAGCAAGAATAGTGCTCACCAGCTGCACCAAACGAGCGACGTAGCTTGAATTGAGCTTCTTTGATCCAGCCAGATCAAATGTGATCTCTTGCACCTTGTGCCCCTTCGGAACAGCCCGACAAGCAGCTCTCCAATCCGAATTGAGCGTAATGAACTCCTGTCCCTCGGGGTAGGTAATGTGGTCGCTGGAAACCCACTCCAGGCTCGGGTATGGGAACGGCATGGCCTTGAAGAACTCGCGTACCTCGGGCGGCTGATCGCAAGACTGACGAGTCCATCCTTCACCGGATAATCCGCCCAGGCTCACCGTGGGGAGTGGGTTATCTATGAACTGATGCATGGGAACGAGTCGAAGTTTGGTGGCTGTTGGATGGGTCGATCCAGTATTGCAAAAGTATGCCTCGAGAGCCTTTGGGTCTTCGAAGACGAAGGTTCTGGTCGAAAGGTAGTCCGGGAGTTCGTTGACTGGCACTGAGATGCGAGGGGTGTCGGATGTCGGGTTGATCGGGCTTGCCATGAGGTCGCCAGCGCTGAGGAAGATCAGCATCTCGGTTCCCACCATGAGGATCTTTACCCCGCCGGTGAGTTCGCTAATTTCCCTTGTGGGCACGGTGGTCGCCATTTGAATCGAGGAACTTGACTCGGGGACCGATTCAGATGGAATGCATGAGAGCGAAGGTAAAGAGACAGGACATGGAAACGTTTGACGCGATGTAAATGTCTGTCACTGTGTCCGCTGTAGGTGCACTTCCTTTAGACTTATATGGCTAATCTCCCTTATCAATTTGCTTGAAGCAAACTTGAATAACGATTGTGGGGTTTGCCTAGCAAGAATAAGTGTACACAAGCACTACATGGAACTTCAACAGTTATATACCTAGTTCATCTGATGCTAACAACATTCAAATATGCTCAATGCAATATTCCAAGCTGAGCATCCGACACTCAATGGGAACCAGCAGCACATCGATATCCGTCGCTTTGCTTAATCCATTGATAACCCTGGACACAGACTCCCATGGACCTCAGCTTCATCTGATTAGCTTGTTCCTGACGACGTGGCACAGCCAAAGCCTCTTACTGCTTGCGGAGTTCCTCCAAAATGGCTTCCTGTCTTCTGCACTCCAACTCATGCTGCGGTCGGGCTTGTTCATGGCGTCTTTTGGGCTCTTCGTCTGCTTTCCTTTTTGCATTTTCCAGCTCCTGTGCTGCCTTTCCCTCCTCGGCCTTCAATTTCAATATCTCCTTCTTTTGCTCTTCTTCGATAAATCGCCTGAAGCCGTTCAAATCCTGGATTCCCATGGGCAACCGCTCCAAAATATTTGGCCAGTCGCCCTGATCGAATGTTTGTAGACATGATAGAGATAAGGTTCAAATAACAGTCCTCAACATAGATAGTTGCAAGATCAATGTTGGCACAGAAAGATAGAAAATAAAATTGAAGTATAGAAAGACTTGCAGAGAGTCAGGGTGGAAGAGACAATTTGGACTCTGCCTCATTGACAATAAAGCAGAGCACAGCTAAACATGCAAACCATCAGTGCTGTCTGTCTTGTTGTAGGTTTCTATCTTTCTAACACAACCAGGCTATTCGCAGCGAAAATCAACAAACGCAAGGAGGCCAATGCATAAATCACACGTATGCGACATGGCGACAGGCATCTATATCTACGTAAACCCCGGCAACGAAACGCGCGTAGAGTATGGCAAACGAACAAGATACTGAGCCATTGGTCCATAAGTCTACTTTTTATTTTTTTCCTTCTGCCTGTCTACACATACATTGCTGTATTGGTGTCTCACCCTTCGTGATTGCTGCGTTCTCGCTACCAGGCGAGTCTACACTCCACGCCATGTCTTCGCAGGGAAGAGGACGAGGACGATGGAGAGGACGAGGTGGACGTGCACCACGCGCGCCCCGAATCAGTTCGCCAGCACCTCCGCTAGGAGAGGTCATTGTCACAATCCATGACGATGAGATTGAAAGTCCGGCTTCTGATCAAGACGATGCCATGACTCGAATCACGAAGAGTCAATACCTGACATCCTACAACTGGCTTGGCGGGGGAAAGAGCAGAATAATTGTTCCAGGTAACGTCTCATGACAATCAATCACCAGTATATTAACTAACATATTTCTATCAGGTGAGCCAGCAAAGTGGACGCCTCTGTCCGGTCATCCTACGCTTCCTCAAGACAGGGGTGGATATTACCGCGATCGAAATGCCGCGCAATATCCCACCCACCCCATGGAGCCAATGGTACAAGCGATACTGACAGACAAACCCGAGTTCCCCGTGACTAGTGTGGACATCATTGGGTGCAGCACAACAATGGTCAACCTGCTGGGCTTTGTACGTGGGCAGGACTATTCCTTCAGGATGCTGGTCGAGGTACTCGGCGAGACAGTCTTCTTCATCAGAAGGGAAAACTCACCCACCGGAATGTATCCCAGTGTCCGTGGGTACGGGCATACTTTCCCGGAAGCATACACCACGTGGAATGCAAGTGTGGGCGGATCCCTGTCCCATCATCGGGTGCTGGAGTATGAGTTTGCTGGCATGCGGTGCTTGATGCGTTTTGAAGCTAATGGCTTTTTGCCCGACCTGGTCCCAGATACCGAGGAAACCGAAGAACATCCTGTTACTCCGATGGAAAGTACCGACCCAGAGGGAGCTTTGCCGACCATCGAACGAGCAACAATTTCAGATGTGCCCTCGGTCACTACAGAAACGGCACCGGAGCAGCTTGACGTTGCAAGACAAGGCCGGCGTATCCCACAGTGTGCAATCTTTGACCTAAAGACTCGAGCTCGCGCCAAAAGGAACCTGAAGGTCCTTGAGGAAGGATTGCCCCGGTTGTGGCTTAGCCAGACTCCCAACTTCATCCTTGCCCACCATACAGCTGGTTCATTCAAGCATATTCAGGTCCAGGATGTGCAGAATGACATAAAGCAGTGGGAGGAGACCCAGCAAGCGGCTCTGGGGAAATTCGCCAGCTTACTTCAAATGATCGTGGCATTCGCACGGAGCATGGATAACGGAAAGCTTGAGATCGAGCATAAGGAGGGTGAGCAGGTTTTGAATCTGAGAGAACAAGGTGGAGTTGTCAATGGCGTTTTGCCCCCGGCTGTCGCAAGCAAGTGGGATATGTGAACCGGCTCTCATTAGCGCAGCATTGTAAGCTACTATTCTCAGTTTGAGGATTGGCCCAGGATGTAAATTTTCCACAGAAATCCAATGCTTTTCACTTATGACGCCCGACTCCAAAGCTCTATATCAGTCTGGTTAGGTGTCCCCCAAGTACGGCATCGAGGATGGCCCTAGAAAACAGAAGTATCATACATCGACTCTGCTGATACTATCTGATTGTGCAATGTAGACACGGTCCTATAGGGGGTTAATTACTTTGCCCAGAGTAGCAGAGTGTGTAATGTGTAGTAATGAGGGAATGATATCGTATGCTTTTAGCTGAAAGGCGTACCCTCTGGTTTTTGGGTTGCTAGTTTAAAATTGGGGGAATAGATTATACTAGCAAGTTGCAATTGAAATCATTATTTCGGTCAGCAGTGTTCACCCCCTTAAAAGAGAGACGCGGTCTTTGTTATAGAGAGCGCATGCGATAAGACAACTATTCTGCCACTACCGACCGCCTGTTCAACCCTCGCCATCGAGCTCCGAAACGACTTGCCGGCCCTGCTACTCCAATTTCTCTCCTATCTGCGTCACCAAGGCCTTACTTCTGAGGTTCAGCCTGAAGCCACGGCATTGCGAATCAGGACAGTCCTTGCTAGTCTAGAACCCCGCCCCCTGAACGAGACCCATCCCGAGAGGGAATTTTCCTCTTTCGCGCGACGACAGCAAGTATTTCTGCAGAAACCGGCAACATGCCCAAATATAAGTGCCCTCTGGTCTATATCTTTTCAACTGAAAGCTAACTTCCCATGCACTCTTCTGTAGGTTTTGCCCCGAATCCAGGTCTAGACAGACCAAGCCGTGTCATAGCCTATTCCGGCCAATAATGCGACACGATGTCATGCGACTATGGCTCTTCAGCCCACATCCATCGACCTATTGCTAACTCACTCCAACCTGTAGGCGACTACTGTGATGTCTATCTGACGCACGACTCGATGAGCGTGCGCAAGGCGCATAACTCCGGTCGAAACCATCTGAGGAACGTGGTGGACTACTACCAACGTACGTTTAAACAATGGCGCAGCAAGACACATAAACCCAACAGCTGAATGATAGCTAACCATGTGAGCCCCGTACAGAGATTGGCCAAGAAAAGGCCCAGTCCGTCATCGACTCCATTACCTCCTCCTACGCCGCAGAGGGTCAGCAAGCCCCCAACATGATGCCCCCGGGTGCTTTCCCGCCTCCCTTCGGATTGCCGGGTATGACTCACTCCTATGCTCTCTAAAAACCAAATCCAAAGACCAAGCTGACACAACCAGGACGACCAGGCATGCCCCCTCCCCCCTTCGGCATCCCTCCGCCAGGCGCCCCCGGCGCCCCCGGCATGATCCCTCGTATGTACCGTACCGCCCACCCTCCATGCCCGAGAAACAGGGACAGGGCCCCCCAACCTACACAAGACCATACAAAGCTAACCAATATCCCTTACCAACAGCCCCAGGAGCCCACGGCCTCCCCTTCCCACCGCCTTTCCCTAACGCTGCCGGAACCCCGCCAACAGGCGGCTTCCCCCCGCCCCTCCCCAACATGCCCCAGGGCGCAAACGTGCCGATTCCGCCTCCAGGCGGCTTCCCGAACTTCCCCATCCCTCCGCCAGGCGCTCCGGGCTTCCCGCCTATGCCTGCTCAGCCCGGTATGGCGCCCGGTGGTCCCTCCCCCATTCCTACTGGCCCCCGTGGCATGGAGGGGTATCCTCCTCCCCCTGGAGGCGGGCCTCCTGGTGGGCCTCCTGGTGGGATGGATCAACGGTGGTGATCATAATTACGATCTCGGAGTTGCTTCGTATATGGTTTGTTTCTGATACCTTTCCCCCCCCCCTGTGGGGATGTGTGGTGCCGTGGGCATGGCATGGCATCTCTCATGGTTCTTTTTGCTCTTTACTGTTAGTGTAAAATAGCGGGTTCTTCTTTTTTTACGTCTCTTTACTTTTCGCACGTTGTGTTTCGTACAAGATGGTCCCGGGGGTTCTTGTCGATTTCGGCAGGTTATTGTCAATTCATGGAATTGAATTCTTTACGAGAGGTCCATTGCAAAAAGCTTCCGATATCCGCATACATTTGCGGAAACTGCTTTCATATATACACTAAGATTACCTCCAGAGCACTGGTGTATACATAGGGAGAGAAATTTTGCCCAGGTGAAGACCAGAGAAATTGGAAATATATTTCATTGGCAGCAGGCATACTGCAAAGCCAACAACAAGAAAAAAGAACCCCCAAGGCCAATCACCATATCCAGAATGCATCAAAGAACGCCAGGCGGAAGTAAAAACAAGGGAAATACACGGCAAAAGGATTTAGACCAGGGAGAGGAGAAAGAGAAAAAGAAGAAGTCAGGAGAAGAGGTAGAGGAAAGGAAGGGATAGATGAAAAAAAAAAAATCTCACACCATTAACGAATGGGGTGGATTAAGAAAAGAAGTTTGTCTGAAGCGACGAGGATGCTGCAGACTTGTGCAGAAGCAAAAAGAAAAGAACCCCGAACCCAGAGGGAATAGCGAATGGAAAATCATAGACCATCGGTATCCCGCGCTAAAACAAAATCACATATATTCATCTCGGAAGCGACAAAATAAGAGACCACGGGCACTTTTTAATGGTCATAGCCAGCGCCTCGTTGCCAAGGACTGGCATTGTTCTGGGTTCGATAATTTGTCGCCAAAGCAGATTGGCCAACAGGAGCGGTGTTATCAAAGCTCCTTCCGGCAGGTGAAGGGGACCGACCGAACTGGTCGTATCCGGGGGGAGGATTGTGATGACCTGACACGTTACTGGGGAACAGTGGGACAGATGGGTCAACTGGTGACCGAGGCGCTTGGGCGGCAGAGCCGTGGGGCGGGTATGTTGATTCCATTTGGCGGCCGACGGCAGCACCGTTTCCACTGGAGATAGAGGCGGTATCATCGTCGAATGGGTTGTTGTTATATTGCCCAGGCTTGACATCACCACGCGCTGTGGCGCCCAAGGCATCCAATTCAGTAGTCAGCTGGGTTTGGGACTTGATGAACGAGCCGCGATCGTCGCGCATGGGCTGGTAACGAGTGTCGGGGTTCTTGGACACAACGGCATAAATAGAGGCGATCAGAACCAGGATCAAAAGGACCAAAGCAAACACGGCATTATAAACGAAGAAGATGACACCCATGACACCGATCATCATTCCGGGGGGATCAAATACATCCGAGAACACAAGCAGGAAGATAGAGTTGAGGAAATTGACCACAGCAATAGAGATGTTGAAAACGTTAGTCTTCTTATCCATCCAAGGACGGAGAACGCAGACAGCAACCAGCATGGCTAGCTCAAGAATCACCAAAGCCACTGTCTGAACGACAGGTGCAGGCTGGCTCAGACCGATGAACATACCCTTGATCAAGGTGTAGATGAGGAACGGAACGACGAAGTAGTATGCCGTTGCTCGGTACTGCACATACAAGAAGCCCCACTTGTTCAGACAGGACGGATCAGAGTAAAGAATGTATGCCGGGTTCTTGTGCATGGTGACTGAACGCTTTGCCAATCGAATAACCTTCTGAGAGGCCCAACCAAGAGACACGAGCATGGAAAGGAGCATGACCGCTGCCAAAACAACCTCGGCGGGTGAGTCACGCTGAGTGAACTCCCAGAGGCAAAGAACGGACATTTGGGGTAAACCGATGAGAGTCAGTCGGAACAAGATACCACGCAGAACTACTTTCCATCCATTGCGGAAGTCCTGGAACCGCTCGCTCTTCATTTTGCCATGTTTGACAAGTAGCTCAGTAATCCCTTTGAAAGCTGTAACGATGATGACGACAATGCAGGTAAAGACCGCAAAGAAAATCAGGCCAGTAAGGAAAATGTTGGTCTGCTCCATGTTCGCACGGAATCCAACACGCTCAATTCCTCGAATGACAAGAAGTTTCTGGCCTCCTTCGGCTCTCTTGACCATACCGGTTGCCCGCTTTATAATTGGTCCCGTGGCTCTCTTCAAGAGGTTCATCGCTGGGTCGAAGTCACGCTTGCGGCGCTTGAGGACTTCCACAGAAGTATCCCCAAGCTGTGAGAGAATTGTCGATGGGGTTCCACCGGTTGCCCGCTGATACCAGGTAGCAATCTTCTGGATGAATCCTACGCGGATGATACCCATGCTCCATTGGAAGTTCTGAGTCCAAGCTTCCACAATCGGGGGCATATGAACGGAGGTCATGCCAATAATCGCTTGCGACTGCATGAATCCGAAAAGAGAAAGCGCATTTGCCGCAACGTGGGCTGCGGTGTTGGAATGACCTAGTCCGGAGGTAATGGCAGATGCAGCGAGACCTAGTCCGGAGATGACAGCAGTTGTCCACGAGACTCCAGCTTGATTAACGGTCTTGCCGTTGGAAAGCGAGGCCTCGACACAAGCAATCTTTTCATTAGTTTCGAGCGTCTTGATGACAATCCGCACATTTGCGTCAAGATCAGGCACGGTGTAGGCGATGCCAGGAATCTTGTCTGAAGTGCCTTCTGGCAAGTCGAGAGAAAGCGGTCCCAAATCCATGGGTCCAGCGGACATCGGACACATACCCATGCCAGTAATCGAACAAGGATTAATGGTGTTCTTGTATGCCTCGTAGCCATACGCGGTAAGGGTCATCTCCGCAACAACCTTACCCTCGATGTATGAGACGCCATCGAAGCCGACCATAAGAGAGTTGTTACCTGGGTAGAAAGTGACGCTGAAATATGTTGCCGTAAAGTTGCTACTTTCCATGCACACGCTGAGTGCATTGGATTCAAGGAGTTTAACGGCGGAGGCTAGCGGCGCCAGAAAGGCGACGAAGCAGGTGAGAAGCGATATTAACCGCATGTTGGTGTATATTCGATATCAGGAAGAGGTTGCGAAGCACTGGGCAGGTTCCCAGTGGTAGATCAAGGCGAGGGGAAGAAATCTGACGGCTACCGTATCAGTGGGACTCCAGAGTACCACGTTGCCAGCCGCCGGATGCGGAAGTTTCTGTACGGCCGAATATTTTTTGATTTGATTCGCAGTGGGGCCGAGTTATTTCTCAATGTCTCCTCGGACTGTTACTGTATTGTATGTTTGGCGGAGATTGTCGGGGGGAAAGAAGTCAGGGTTGAGCAAATTGCGTTTTGCCTTCACTGGGGCATTGAATATAGGCGGAGCGTAGAAGTGGTCGTAAGGGGGTTTATGGAATCGAAAGAAGCTGAGCTTGTAGATAAATGAGAGTATGTCAGAGCCTGAATGAGAGCAAGGTCGAGTAAAGCGAAAAAGCGAAATGTCGAGAGTGAGTGGACTGGCGATACGCAGTATGGCCGAAAAAGGAGTAAGGGAGTAGAGTAATAGGCTTGAAATCCGGGAGAAGGTGTTTGAAAGTGAACACACAAATTTCCCTTTAGAATCAAGAAGAGAAGAGAAGGAAAAAGAGAGACGAGAGAATGAGGGTGAAGAAGGAGAGTCCACGGGTTGTTGAACTCAGGGACAGTCAAGGGTCCGTGGGAAAGACACTGCCTGGAGTGGTCGCCATTCCACTGGGAAGGTATGTGGTCATGTATTGTAAGAAGACAGGGGCGGCTATCTAAAAACCAATTAGATCACTGTATTAACCTGTATTGATGTTTTAGTTTGTTCCGTATGGCCTCCGGCACTTGCCCCCCTTCAACACTCTTCTAGTACGGAATGCCACCTCCAAGCTTATATATGTTTCACTTGCTTTCTTCACTTTCTTTTCTTTATATCACTCTATTCACGCTATTAACTTTATTCTCTCCCTCTTGAGCAAAGAAAAGCGACCCTCTTTCTCTTTTTCGTATACTCCGTACGCGTCGTCGAGTTGCCGAAAGCGGTTGATGGATGGCGGAATCAGGCGGGTCCATGGGCCCTTGGGATTATAATTAGCAGACAAAGTCGATGCCAATATTAAGTATTATTACGAACCAAAGGAACTGTTGCCCCCAGCTGTGGAGTGTGCCGCATACAGCGGACCGTTACGTACAGACTACAATGGTAACTTTGAATAATTTAATGTACTACGTATATCATACTATGTTAGTATTTCGTCTGTCTCGTTAATTCATATTAATTAAATTTAGATTTCAGATTTCTACTTTGTATATTGTAGATCCACACTTATGTCGCTGCCTACATACTCTGTACTCATTGTGGTGAATTTCTTCTGTCGGGTGGGGCCCTTAGCTGCCGCTTTTATGAAGGCGCTTTAAAATTAGCCCCAGTAAAATTCAGTCCGGAAGTGCCACGTGATTAGACTCTCCAATTACTATAAGCATTTCACCCTGCAGAATATCAGACAATATCCCTAACATAAATGCCCAGGGCTTCGAGCAACGCCAATCGTTCATATGAGAGGTCAACATCTGGTCAAAGTCGATCAACCTCTTCAAGTTTGGGGTAATATTGTACCGCAATCAGCAAACGAGCATTAGGATATGATTTAATCATCAGGAAGATAAGTAGTTATGCAACTACATAGTTATGTACTTACGTAGAGTATCATCCTCTATAGACCTGTTGAACTCAATGAGCAAAAAGTGGCAAGAGGTAAACACTAAAATGGAAGGAAAGCCAAGAGTCCTTGGCTGATATCTTTGCCTTCTTTTTTATATTTCTAATGGTTCTACATCTGGGGTTAAACCTTCCTGAGCACTGATATAATACTAGTGAGAGCTAGATTCGAAGTATGCAAATCGTACACATTATTCTTCTTGGTTCTAGAGCCAGGAAGATCATTAGACTATTTTACACTTCATAGACCCA